AGGCGTCGAAATGAAATGCGACAGGAAATTGATGGGAAATTGTTAAAAAAGGGTAAAAAAAACGCCGCGAAACCATTTTCAGGGCTACAAAATTGCTGTAAATGTTTTCGATTGAGGGGAAAAGCCGAAAATTAGAGCTATTAGTTTCAATTTTGCAAGAAAACAGCGGGCACAAGAAGGAAAATGCGTTCGACGAAATTTCTCGAGATTTTAATTAGATTTCTGAAAAATTTAAACCCGATTCGGCTAAGCTGGAAGTCACTTGAGAAAAATAAGCAATTTTCAATCAAAAATATTCAACTTTTTCGGTGGCCAAGTGGTAGTGGGCGCCGAAGTTCGGAGCCAAACCTCGAGGGTTCGAGTCCGCTAGCGGTCAAATTTTTTGCGAAATCATTTGCAAACTGATTTTGAATCAAAATTTAGCCCCAATGCCTTTCAGAATCGAGATTAAGCGTCAAAGATCTTTGCGGGAGAGTCGATAATTCGCAAAAATGACTTTTTATTCGAAATTTGAAGTGTAATTCGATATAGAATCCAAATCTAGCCAAAAATTTTACCTTTTCCCCATTCTGAGGCGCCATCTCGTGGGATTCGTTGAAGAAAAGCTCAGTGAAGCGTGGAAAATCGAAAAAATAATGCGACTACGAAAAACGATGGCCACAGAAAATCGCGTTTTCCCGATTTGGTAACACTAAAAAAATTGAGGAATAAAAATATAATAGAATGAAGAAAAGAACGATTAGAAAGTGTTGTGTGAGCTCCAGAACTGAGGAAAAAAATGATTAAAAATGAGATTCGATGGCTAGCAATTGATTTCGTTGCCCAATCGATTTTCTGGAAAAGTGAACGCCAGAAAAGTGATCGAATTGAAAGAATAACGATCAGAAAATGTTGTGTGAGCTCCAGGATTAAAGAAATTGCTTAAAATTTTTCAGCAAAACTCGGCAAAGACTATTTTTTAGTGACCCAATCGATCAGTAGTGTAATTTTGTTGAAAATGATATTCGTGAGAAAGAAATTCGGGAGGGAAAGTTTCAGGAAGGGAAGAAGGCCGTTCAAGAAGGGAAGAAGGCCGTTCAGGAAGGGAAGAAGGCCGTCAAGAAGGGAAGAAGGAAAGAAGGTCGTCAATTTAAGGCTAGAGAAAGTCGATGAATGGTTTAAATGAGAATTTTGAATAAAAATCGGCTTATTAGATGAAAATTGGGTTTTTCGATTACGGTAGGAATAAGTGCGTTTTAGAAAATGGGACCCTGACTTGCCTCACCTGATCCTGGACCCAGAAAATGGGACCCTGACTTGCCTCCCCTGATCCTGGACCCAGAAAATGGGACCCTGACTTGCCTCACCTGACCCTGGACCCAGAAAATGGGACCCAGAAAAAGGACAAGGACTCCTTGTCCTTTTTCGATGTGCATTCCAGAATGGAAATTAAAAAACTCAAAAATACGATCCCATAGAAATTAAGCTATTTTTTCTTAGAGGTTTTGGAGTAATTCGTTTTTCAATAATTCTTAAAAGCTTTTAAATGAATCCAGAAATGTTCCAATGGCGTTTGTGACATCCAGCTTTAACAAAAATACACATTTGAATGTCGAAAAGTGAATGGATTGCCATTTGGTCTTGACGAAAAAAAAAGTCTCTTTCCGGGGCTTTGAGGAAGTGTTTTCTTGAAGGGAAGATGGGGAAAAGTGAAGAAGAGGAAGAAAGATGGCTGATGGAATGGGTAATGGTGAAGCCCAGCCAAGCAAAAAACACACACACACACACAAAAACACTTTTCCTTTCCGTCATAATATAGCCGCCTCCGCGGTGATCCGAAAAGAATAAGCTATAAGAAAAAGCGCTAAAAATCATTGATTTTAAAAAAATTCGACATTTTTTGATGAATCTGGAGTGCACAATGGAGATCGATTCGATTTTTGAAAGAAATTTTTGAAAAATCGCGAAGGCACTTTTTGGCTTGAGCTTTTCGGAGGAAATTCTTGGCGTTGAATTTTGTTTTTGAAAATCTGTGCTCAGATTTCGACGATCTGGAGCTCATCGAAGTGATCAAAATAATTTTTTACGCAAAATTTCATAAATCAGCATACTGCGTGGCAGCCCCCAAAGAAGAGAGGCTTTGGGGCTGCCACGCAGAAGTAATAAACATTGAAATCTAGTGCTGAAAATTGGCTAAATCAATACTGTGCCATCCAGAATGGCTAAAATGAGTAGAAGAATTTCAAAAAATGATTGGAAATCGGGGATTTTACAGCCGGTTTAGTTACCCAAGTGGATCGATTTTCTTGGTTTTCAAAATTTTCACTCAAAAACGGAAAAAACATTTTCCGTGGCATCCAGCTCGACGAAAAAGCATCAAAATTCAGGGGAAATTCGCTTTTCTGAGGGGAATTTTGTCGGGAAGTCTATTTGCTCGAAATTCATTGAGGAAAACAGTGATTTTCTTGATTTTTGATTAAAGAAAGGGAAAATTTCGATAATCTGGGAGGGAAATGGGAGGAGAAATGAGGGAATTGAGGGAATTGAGGGATTTTTTTTTGATTTTCTAAAGGTGACCATGGGGATTTGAGGGTCCTAATCTATAGGATAATCCTGAAAATAAAAAATTCATTGAAAACCGAATTTTTTGGCTTTTTTACGCTCAGATCACACTGAGATATGAGAAAAATGAAAAAAATGAGCAAAATAAGAAAAATGAGAAAAAATGAGAGAAACCTGGGTTCTTTATGGAAAAATCTTCTCCTTGTCCTTTTTTGCATGATGACAGAAAGCGTCAATTCCCGGAAAAGGAGGCCCTGGGTGAATTGAATGGAGAAAGGACAAGTCTTTCTTTCATCCCTCGAACGCATATAAGAGAAATCTTGCGGAGAAGAGGGAATCGATGGGATTTATAAAAGTCGAAAAATTAATCGAGATGATTCGGTGAGTTCTGGGGCTTTAGAAATGACAAATTTTGAGTGAAAACGAGTTTTTCGTTGATCCTGGAAGGCACATGAGGGAAAGCTGGTGAAAGAGAGGGAAATTTTTGAGTTTTACAGAAGGCGTAAAATGGTCAAAATGGGTTTGCAGGCTCAGGTTCGTCAGATCTCCCGGATTTCTCTCGGGAATCCGTTTTTCTTCCATTCTGGAAAGCACATGAGGGAAAACTGATGAAAGAGAGGGAAATTTTTGAGTTTTACAAAAGGTGTAAAATGGTCAAAATGGGTTTGCAGGCTCAAATTCGTCAGAACTCACGGATTTCCCTCGGGAATTCGATTTTCTTCCGTTCTGGAAGGCACATGACAGTAATCTCACAGAATTGAATGAAATTTCTCTAATTCTAGAAAATATTGCAAAGCCGATCGACAACGCGGAAATGACTCATTAGCGAAAAAAATGGCCTCGACTACAAATGGCTACAAATTACCGCCAAAAAACAGCTATAAATAAAAGCTTCACGCACAAATATAACAAATTAACAGCTAAAACGTTTTCAAAATTTTCCAGACCTCTTCGTCGCGTTTTTTGCTCATCTCGATCTGGAAAACGTGCCAGAGCATTTTTTCGGCTTTCTGCGAGTCCATCTGAAATTTGAATTGTTGCAAGCTCGTATCTGGAACGCACACGATGCAAAAATCACTAAATTTAGCTTTTTCTTTGCGTTTTCTAACCACTGCGTGGCAGCCCTTCTGGAAAGGGATTTCCAGAAGGGCTGCCACGCAGCTAGAAAACTCTAACAAATCGGGTTTTTTTCTACCTATCTGCATACTGTGACTTCCAGATCGCCCAAAAAACTTACTTTCAACGGGGTTTTCGAATCGATAATGATTAAAATCGGTGCCTTCATCGTTTCCCGAAATGATTAGCCGAAAATTCGTGAAAATCTTGAAAATTTTAGTGAAAAATGCTTAAATCTCAACGAAAACTCTTTCGAAAACTCAAATTTTCATGAGAAAATACAATTTTTTGTTTTTTTTGAGGAGAATCTGTTAGAGATTATCTTAATAAATGCAAATTTGAAAAAAATTTTGATGTTAAATGCAAATTTGATTTTAAATGCAAATTTGATTTTAAATGCAAATTTGATTTTAAATGTAAATTTGTTTTTAAATGCAAATTTCATTTTAAATGCAAATTTGTTTTTAAATGCAAATTTGATTTTAAATGCAAATTTGTTTTTAAATGCAAATTTGATTTTTAAAAAAATGCAATTCTTGATATAAAAAATTTTTTTTTTTAAATTAAAATTTTGTTTTTTTTTAGATTTTTGAGTACACTGTAGTCCAGGATTTACAAATTTTAATAAAAAATGTTTATTGATTTGAGGTTAATGGGGGATTTTTGAGGGATAAGGTTTTAGGCTGATTTGTTAGCAGAAAAACCGCAAAAATGATTTTAAAAATGATTTAGAAAATTCAATTTTAAGAAAGGAAATGGAGAGAAATGTTGTAAAGCTTTAAAGAGAATGGAAATCATGACGGCTGGAGCCAAATCATGGCTTCAGCCTCCAGGCTTTATGGCAACGCATCGGCATTCATAAGATGAGCATTTGAATATTCGAGCGTTGGATGGCGGCCGAAGAGTTCTCCATTCACTTTCAGACTGATTGAAATGGGAAAGGGAGCAAAATTCGAAAGGAAAAATTGAAAACGCAAAGAAACAAAGGGATTTGGAAATAGTTTCTGTTTGAGAAATTCGTTTAAATACGATTTATGTTTACTTGTTTTATTTGTTCTGTTCTGTTTAGGTTGGCAAGTTAGAAACGATGCCAACCTAGTCTATGGCTACGGTCTCGCCACGCTACGGTCTCCAACACTCCAACGTCTCCAAGCACGGTATCCAGTCAGATCCCGAGCAACGTTGAGCTCGGAATCCAGCAGATGAGCGAGATCTTCCCTGAACTGAGTGCTGTAGGTGACCGCACTTATATGAACTGGTTCCCAAGATTGGCCCTCCTAGGCCCCTTTGCCTGGGGATTGGGATAGCCAGGGATCCAAATGGATCGACTTGTCGGAAGCTTAAAGTGGGTAGCCTTCTTTTCCTACAACGTCTCCTACACCATCTCCTCCATCGTCTCCTCCATCATCTCCTAGACCATCTCCTCCATCCTCCCCTCCACCATCTCCTCCATCCTCCCCTCCACCATCTCCTCCATCCTCCCCTCCACCATCTCCTCCATCCTCCCCTCCACCATCTCCTCCATCCTCCCCTCCACCATCTCCTCCATCCTCCCCTCCACCATCTCCTCCATCCTCCCCTCCACCATCTCCTCCCTCATCTCCTCCATCCTCCCCTCCACCATCTCCTCCATCCTCCCCTCCACCATCTCCTCCATCCTCCCCTCCACCATCTCCTCCATCCTCCCCCCTCCACCATCTCCCTCCATCCTCCCCTCCACCCCACCATCTCCCTCCATCCTCCCCTCCACCATCTCCTCCATCCTCCCCTCCACCATCTCCTCCATCCTCCCCTCCACCATCTCCTCCCTCATCTCCTCCATCCTCCCCTCCACCATCTCCTCCATCCTCCCCTCCACCCCACCATCTCCTCCATCCTCCCCTCCACCATCTCCTCCATCCTCCCCTCCACCATCTCCTCCATCCTCCCCTCCACCATCTCCTCCATCCTCCCCTCCACCATCTCCTCCATCCTCCCCTCCACCATCTCCTCCATCCTCCCCTCCACCATCTCCTCCATCCTCCCCCTCCACCATCTCCTCCATCCTCCCCTCCACCATCTCCTCCATCCTCCCCTCCACCATCTCCTCCCTCATCTCCTCCATCCTCCCCTCCACCATCTCCTCCATCCTCCCCTCCACCCCCACCATCTCCTCCATCCTCCCCTCCACCATCTCCTCCATCCTCCCCTCCACCATCTCCTCCATCCTCCCCTCCACCATCTCCTCCATCCTCCCCTCCACCATCTCCTCCATCCTCCCCTCCACCATCTCCTCCATCCTCCCCTCCACCATCTCCTCCCTCATCTCCTCCATCCTCCCCTCCACCATCTCCTCCATCCTCCCCCTCCACCCCACCATCTCCTCCATCCTCCCCTCCACCATCTCCTCCATCCTCCCCTCCACCATCTCCTCCATCCTCCCCTCCACCATCTCCTCCATCCTCCCCTCCACCATCTCCTCCATCCTCCCCTCCACCATCTCCTCCATCCTCCCCCTCCACCATCTCCTCCCTCATCTCCTCCATCCTCCCCTCCACCATCTCCTCCATCCTCCCCTCCACCCCACCATCTCCTCCATCCTCCCCTCCACCATCTCCTCCCTCATCTCCTCCATCCTCCCCTCCACCCCACCATCTCCTCCATCCTCCCCTCCACCATCTCCTCCCTCATCTCCTCCATCCTCCCCTCCACCATCTCCTCCATCCTCCCCTCCACCCCACCATCTCCTCCATCCTCCCCTCCACCATCTCCTCCATCCTCCCCTCCACCATCTCCTCCATCCTCCCCTCCACCATCTCCCTCCATCCTCCCCTCCACCATCTCCTCCATCCTCCCCTCCACCATCTCCCTCCATCCTCCCCTCCACCATCTCCTCCATCCTCCCCTCCACCATCTCCTCCCTCATCTCCTCCATCCCCCCCTCCACCATCTCCTCCATCCTCCCCTCCACCATCTCCTCCATCCTCCCCTCCACCATCTCCTCCATCCTCCCCTCCACCATCTCCTCCATCCTCCCCTCCACCATCTCCTCCATCCTCCCTCCACCATCCCCTCCCTCATCTCCTCCATCCTCCCCTCCACCATCTCCTCCATCCTCCCCTCCACCATCTCCTCCCTCATCTCCTCCATCCTCCCCTCCACCATCTCCTCCCTCATCTCCTCCATCCTCCCCTCCACCATCTCCTCCCTCATCTCCTCCATCCTCCCCTCCACCATCTCCTCCCTCATCTCCTCCATCCTCCCCTCCACCATCTCCTCCATCCTCCCCTCCACCATCTCCTCCATCCTCCCCTCCACCATCTCCTCCATCCTCCCCTCCCCCTCCACCATCTCCTCCATCCTCCCCTCCACCATCTCCTCCATCCTCCCTCCACCATCTCCTCCATCCTCCCCTCCACCATCTCCTCCATCCCCCCCTCCACCATCTCCTCCATCCTCCCCTCCACCATCTCCTCCATCCTCCCCCTCCACCATCTCCTCCATCCTCCCCTCCACCATCTCCCTCCATCCTCCCCTCCACCATCTCCTCCATCCTCCCCTCCACCATCTCCCTCCATCCTCCCCTCCACCATCTCCTCCCTCATCTCCTCCATCCTCCCCTCCACCATCTCCTCCATCCTCCCCTCCACCCCACCATCTCCTCCATCCTCCCCTCCACCATCTCCTCCATCCTCCCCTCCACCATCTCCTCCATCCTCCCCTCCACCATCTCCTCCATCCTCCCCTCCACCATCTCCTCCATCCTCCCCTCCACCATCTCCTCCCTCATCTCCTCCATCCTCCCCTCCACCATCTCCTCCCTCATCTCCTCCATCCTCCCCTCCACCATCTCCTCCATCCTCCCTCCACCATCTCCTCCATCCTCCCCTCCACCATCTCCTCCCTCATCTCCTCCATCCCTCCCCTCCACCATCTCCTCCATCCTCCCCTCCACCCCACCATCTCCCTCCATCCTCCCCTCCACCATCTCCTCCATCCTCCCCTCCACCATCTCCTCCATCCTCCCCTCCACCATCTCCTCCATCCTCCCCTCCACCATCTCCTCCATCCTCCCCTCCACCATCTCCTCCCTCATCTCCTCCATCCTCCCCTCCACCATCTCCTCCCTCATCTCCTCCATCCTCCCCTCCACCATCTCCTCCATCCTCCCCTCCACCATCTCCTCCATCCTCCCCTCCACCATCTCCTCCCTCATCTCCTCCATCCTCCCCTCCACCATCTCCTCCCTCATCTCCTCCATCCTCCCCTCCACCATCTCCTCCATCCTCCCCTCCACCATCTCCTCCATCCTCCCCTCCACCATCTCCTCCATCCTCCCCTCCACCATCTCCTCCCTCATCTCCTCCATCCTCCCCTCCACCATCTCCTCCCTCATCTCCTCCATCCTCCCCTCCACCATCTCCTCCCTCATCTCCTCCCTCATCTCCTCCATCCCTCCCCTCCACCATCTCCTCCCTCATCTCCTCCATCCTCCCCCTCCACCATCTCCTCCCTCATCTCCTCCATCCTCCCCTCCACCATCTCCTCCCTCATCTCCTCCATCCTCCCCTCCACCATCTCCTCCATCCTCCCCTCCACCATCTCCTCCATCCTCCCCTCCACCATCTCCTCCATCCTCCCCTCCACCATCTCCTCCATCCTCCCCTCCACCATCTCCTCCATCCTCCCCTCCACCATCTCCTCCCTCATCTCCTCCATCCTCCCCTCCACCATCTCCCTCCCCTCATCTCCTCCATCCTCCCCTCCACCATCTCCTCCCTCATCTCCTCCCTCATCTCCTCCATCCTCCCCTCCACCATCTCCTCCCCTCATCTCCTCCATCCTCCCCTCCACCATCTCCTCCCTCATCTCCTCCATCCTCCCCTCCACCATCTCCCTCCCTCATCTCCTCCATCCTCCCCTCCACCATCTCCTCCATCCTCCCCTCCACCATCTCCTCCATCCTCCCCTCCACCATCTCCTCCATCCTCCCCTCCACCATCTCCTCCATCCTCCCCTCCACCATCTCCTCCCTCATCTCCTCCATCCTCCCCTCCACCATCTCCTCCCTCATCTCCTCCATCCTCCCCTCCACCATCTCCCTCCATCCTCCCCTCCACCATCTCCTCCATCCTCCCCCTCCACCCCACCATCTCCTCCATCCTCCCCCTCCACCATCTCCTCCATCCTCCCCTCCACCATCTCCTCCATCCTCCCCTCCACCATCTCCTCCATCCTCCCCTCCACCATCTCCTCCATCCTCCCATTCTCAAAAACAATAGAATATTCCCTAAGTCTTAAGGTGTAAATTGTGATGATGTGTGGGCAAAATACCGGTAGGTAGACACTATTATTTATATAATCAAAGAGTGATGATGATTGCCAATCGACGATTGACGATTCACGTCGATTTTTGATTTTTAACTCAAGCTTTTCAAACAATTTTGTATTTATTTTCCATTCCAGTCTTTTACTAGTTTTGAAGAGAAAATTCAAAGCCGATCTCTTCTCATTTATATCAAATTCGACAGCTTTCTCTGACCTGCAGCATTAATTCCAAACTCTGGAAAAGCGCTTGATGTCATTGAGCTAAAAACGTTGAGAAGAAGATTGAGCTAAAGCATGATTCAAGCAGGAGCTGCTCGTCCTTCTGCTACAGGAGTTGCTCGTCCTTCTACTGCAGGAGCTGCTCGTCTTTCCAACAATGTCACAAGCTTTAAATGGATGACTTAACAAGTTTATGAAACGGCACAATAAATCGATGGTCTACTTTTTTCTAGCTTATATTTTTCTTTCTCTTTCGGCTTTTTTTGTGAATTTTATTCAGCATTTGAAAAAATTTCATAAAAAAAAATAATGAAAAAGAAAAGGACACAACTTGAGAGAAAAAGGTAGCTCAAAAAGGGACTGAATTTTCAAAAAGGGACTGAAGAAAATTCCGAAAACTCCGAAAATCCGAAAATCCGAAAATTCCGAAAATCCGAAAATTCCAAAAATTCCGAAATTCCAAAAATTCCAAAAATTCCAAAAATTCCGAAAATTCCGAAATTCCGAAATTCCGAAAACTCCGAAATTCCGAAAATCTCAAAATTCCGAAAATTCCGAAATTCCGAAAATCCCAAAAATTACTGTAGTTAGAATTGGAAAATAGTAGCGCAAAAAGCAAAAAAAGCAACAAATTTTACAGAAATTCTCTTTTTTTTCGAATTTAAGTTTAAAATTTGGAAAAATGGGCACCAAGCGGCAGAAATTTTTTTAAAAATTAAAAATTAAAAAAATTAAAAACTGACAATAAATTATTATATAAAAGCAAAAAGGAAAAGGGGAAATTTGCATTTTAAATTTTGCGACTTGCGATTTTACGACTGCGACGAAACTCGGCTTTTTTTTTTTTTTCTGTCGGAGTGAAAGTGAGTGGGGGAGGCAAGAGAGTTTAGAGTTCACCGCCGTTGCTCCAAGAAAATAAAGGATATTCAGTTAATTTCCAAATTTTTGACTAATCTGGACGGCACGGGAGAGAGCTAGAATGAAAAATCGCTCAAAAATGGAAATTTCAAAATTTCATTTTCGGCTCGTAAGGGTCGACGCCGTTTTTTGGCATGTAAATTGAAGATATTCAGTTAATTAGCAGATTTTTGACTAATCTGGAGGGCACGGGAGACTTCTAGAATGAAAAATCGCTCAAAAATGGAAATTTCAAAATTTCGTTTTCGGCTCATAAGAGTCCAGGCCGGTTTTTGACATGTAAATTCAAGATATTCAGTTAATTTCCAAATTTTTGACTAATCTGGACAGCACGGGAGACTTCTAGAATGAAAAATCGCTCAAAAATGGAAATGATAGAAGTCCGTTTTTGGGCCGGCCGTTTTTTGGCCGACCAGGCCATTTTTTGGCATTTAAATTGCGGATATTCAGTTAATTTTCAAATTTTGACGCTATCTGGAGTACACAGTGAAACTCTAAACGGCAAAATTTTAAAAATGATAAAAATGACAAAAAAATTTTTTGTGACATTTTGGTGGTGCTACAGTACTCCCCCGGATGACTCAGAACAACGGGGCGCTACGGTTTTACGGGAACTACAACAAAAAAGATTAAATCACATCAAACGAGGCGGTATTTTGGTTTCTGGAAGCTGGCAAATTCACTGCTCCTTTTTCTCGGTCTCGACACGAGCGCGCTTCAAGAATGGCAGCTTCTCCTCGACACTGGAAAAGGTAATTTTCGATTTTTCAACAATTCTGTCAATCCTGGAACGCACTAGACAGCTAGGAGTCGATAGAAAGTCATTTGGCGTAACTCTTAACAACTCGACTCACTTGGGGTTACGGTAGTCGGGAGCAAATTTTAGAAATTAGCAAATTTCGAAAATTCTTCAAATTACAGATAATGATTTTATTTTTTTTTAATAGCTGTGCTGAGCTCCAGATCGAGGAATTCTTCCAAAAAAAAGTGAAATTTTCGTTCTTAAAACTCACATATTGGTGACGTTATCGATGTGTCCCTTGATCACGCTCAAATGTTGATCGATTGGCTCTAAATTGGTTGAATTGGTTGAATTAGTTGAATTGGTTGATGGTTTGGTGGGGGGATTTTTAAAAAAATCAAACCTTGATACACTTCATAGAATTTTGGGATTGAGAAAACGCCGAGAACAACTGAAATTTTTTTGAATTTTTATTGAAAATCGAAAAAAAGTTATTATGATTTTTTTGGGGTTTAAAATTTGTAGAATTGCTTTTTTAATTGTTTTGCGTTTAGATTTTGCTTTGATTTATGGTTTTATTTGTGGGAAAAGCTGTAATTGTCAGCTGTAATTGAGAGCTGCAATCGCTGCAATTCCGAGCTGCAATTGGGAGCTGTAATCGTCAGCTGCAATTGTGAGCATTTGTCGGAAAAGCTGCAATTGGGAGCTGCAATTGAGAGCTGCAATTGGGAGCATTTGTCGGAAAAGCTGCAATTTTGAGCTGTAATCGTCAGCTGTAATTGTCAGCTGCAATGCTGCAATTCCGAGCTGCAATTGTGAGCTGCAATTGTGAGCTTTAATCGCTGCAATTGTCAGCTGCAATTGTCAGCTGCAATCGCTGCAATTCCGAGCTCCAATTGCGTTCTTTGCCTTCTTTTTCTTTTCCAAACAACTACCCGATCTTTTTTACCTTAAAAAATAACAAAAATGATTGAATAATTGCGATTATTTACTTCCATAATGATTCCAGAAAGAAAAACAAACATTTCCTTAATAAAAATCCACTTTTAAACCCGGTTTAATGATCGAAATTCTCCGATTTTATATCCCGGACCCGTGTGCCAGATGCCGCTTTTTTCAAATGCATGAAAAGAACGCACAACTCGCTTCTCAATTTTCTCAACAAAGCACTACTGTTTTCGGTCTTAGAAGCCATTATAAACAAAAACTAAAGCCACATTCGGATTCCCGGTCGCCGAAAACCCTTGGATACAAGTTTAAGCATCAAAATGGCGGTGGAAATAAAAACGCACCAAATGACCCGGGTAAACTGGTCTACTATATAGTTATGAATATTCTAAATCGAAAAAAAACAGCTATCTGGAAGGCACACTTGAGTTCTCTTCAAAGAAAAACTCACAAACGATCAACAATCCGAAGCCGGAGAACCACGCCGAGATGTAGGTGAGCGCCCACAAAAAGAGACCGAACTGAAAACTTTTTTTCTATTCTTTTTGAGAAATTTCTAGATTTTTCAAGATTTTTAGCTAGCGTGACATCCAGAATCGACGAAATACTCAAAAAAATCCGAAAAAATTTCCGGCAAAGCAAATTTTCAGCCCCAGAGTCTTAACGTCAGGTCTCCAATTTTTCAAATCATCGAAATAAAGCCGATTTCAAGATATTTAGCTAATGTGACATCCAGAATCGTGGGAAATCTCAGAAATAATCGCAAATTCCAGTTAAAAGGCAAATTTTCAGCCTCAGAGTCTTCAGGTCAGATCCCCAATTTTTCAAATCATCGAAATAAAGCCGATTTCAAGATATTTAGCTAATGTGACATCCAGAATCGAGGTAAATCTCAGAAATCCGTCGAAATCTGGATCTTTCGAAGAGCTGACGCGTCCGTAAGATCAGAGCTCGACCAGAGTTGGTTCAAAGCTGGCTTCTAGTCTGGTCCTAGTCTTGCTTAGCTAGCCGATGACTATAGGCTGGCTAGACAAGACTATATTAGAAGCCAGATTTAGCTTTTGACTCACAGTATGATAGATAAATCTATGATCTTTGGTCTTTGCTTACCTTAACCGAGTCGACGATGCTTTCGACTAAGAAAAGTCGTCGGGTTTGCGTGGCGAGGAGTTGTCCATGCTCGACGAGGACGTCCACTTGCTCGTGCACTTTTTCTTGTGGTAGGGAGAGCTCGGTGTCGAGGAGTGGTCTGAAAACGGAGTGTACTGTAGTCTTGTACTGTACTGTACTTATTGTACTGTACTGTACTGTTGTAGTTTTCTGGTGTAAACTCACTGGAAAGGATTTGCTTGCTCGGTTTTCTTGATCTGCGCTTCAACGGCTTTGAAAATTCGGAAGCCAAGAGTGCCGGCCAAAACGAGCAACGAAGTGTAGGTGACCACGGAGAGGATTGGGTATCTGAACGGGGCTGGTTTTGAGGCAGTAAAGCTCGTTTAAATCTCTAGCCTGCAATCTGGACCAGGTCAGACTTGTCCGAGAACCAGTCTCCCAAATCCGACTCTGCCATTCTGCCATTCTGGCCTAGGCTAGGCTTAGCCTGGGCCAGCCTGGGTCAGCCTAAACCAGCCTAGGCCAGCCTAGACCAGCTTAGACCAGCCTGGGCCTATCCTGGGCCAGCCTAGACCAACCTAGACTAGCCTAGACCAGCCTAGGCCAGCCTAGACCAACCTAGACCAGCCTAGACCAGCCTAGGCCTGGGCCTGCCTAGGCCTATCCTGGGCCAGTCTAGGCCAACCGAGACAGGGCCAGCCTCTTAACCTGGCAAAAACCTGTCAGGCCTGGATTTGGTTGTTAAAAGGGGTCTAGGGAAAAATTGTCCCTAGTTCCCAGATGTCAGACAGGTCAAGCCTAAGTCAGAGTCTGCTCCTAGAGCCTAGTCCGATCCGGGGCTGAGTTCACCGCCGTTGCTCCAAGGAAATAAACGATATCCAGCTGGTTTTTAAATTCTTGAGTAATCTGGAATGCACGCGGGAACTCTAGAATCAAAAGATCGCTTAAACATGGAAATCTTCGGATTTAGCTTTTCTCTCGAAAGAGTCGACGCTGTTTTTTGAGCTGAGAATTTTGAATTTTGAGTTAATTTTTGAATTTTTGAGCTATCTGGAGGGCACGGTGAAAAGCTGGACGGTTTTGGAGGGCTGTTCCTCACTTACTTCGCAAGAATGAAGAGCGCGATGAGGGTCAAGGCGAGCGCGATTCCCGACTTCTTTGGGTCCCGCCAGTAGATCAAATCGAGCACTAAAATTGATGAAATTATCGCTAATGGACTATCGAAATGGATGAGCCGATATTCTTAAGGCTTTGAGGCTAAACGAACCCTCGCGCCGGTTTCGTTGCGCCAAAAAACGGCGATAACTCGCCTGAACAGCCGACGAACTTTGCTGCATTCAAATTTTGAAATTTTATAGATTTTTTTTAAGCTCTTTAGCTAGTGTGCTATCCAGAATCGAGGAAATCGCTCGAAAAATTCGCAAAAATTTCCGGCAAGGCAAATTTTCAGCCTCAGAGTCTTCAGGTCAGATCTCGAATTTTTCAAATGACCCAAATAAAGTCAATTTCAAGATATGCAGCTAATGTGATATCCAGAATCGAGGGAAATCTCAGAAATAATCGCAAATTCCAGCCAAAAGGCAAATTTTCAGTCTCAGAGTCTTCAGGTCAGGTCTTGGAATTTTTCAAATGACCCAAATAAAGTCAATTTCAAGATATTCAGCTAAAGTGACATCCAGAATCGAGGGAAAACCGTCAGAAAATCCAAAAATCCGTCGAAATGTGGCTCTTTCGACGGATTGAGCGAGCTGAGGTGCGCTTGTTTGTTTGCGAGTCGGCGACCTTTTTTTGAAGGATCCTTTTGATTGCTTTTCGTCGGCGTTTTGCAAAAAGCGCTCTTTCGAAATCAAAAAGCGTTCGCCCTTATCAGTTTTATGATTTCGTTTTGTGAAATTTTTTTTGAAATTTTTTTCTCTTTTCTATTGTTGACAGCGTTAAATCGGTCGGTAAAAAATTTTTTCGAAATTTTTAAAAATGAAAATTTCTTGATTTTTTCGCCAAATCAGCTACAGTGAGCTCCAGATTGGCCAAAATATTTAAGACAATATGCTAATTTTTTTAAAGTATGCTAATTTTTCAGTCAAACTCCATCCCTCCATTTCGGCCTTGTCAAATTTCAAAAAAAACAATCGATTTAATAAATTTTCTATTTTCTGTGATATCCAGATCCGGCAGAAATTTGTTTTAAAATTTCGTAGCGACAAAAGAAGGCGTAATTTGGATCGATTCGGAATTCGGTCACCCCACCTTGTCAAATTTCAAAAAAACAACTGATTTAATGAATTTTCTATTTTCTGTGATATCCAGATCCGTCAGAAATTTGTTTTAAAATTTGATAGCGACAATAGAAAGCGTAATTTGGATTGATTCGGAATTCGGTCACCCCCACCTTGCATCCTTTGTCGGAATCACAAAAAGAATATCGAGAATCGATCGAAAAACGCTCAATTAAACGGCTCAGTGATTTGGAAAACACAAAAGTGCGTGTCAATAGCGATATTGAGAGAAAATTCTGGCGGCGGTTCCCCAGAGGGGAGTCATAAGAGCAGCTGCTTTGGGGAAAACAACACTGGGACAAAAAGAACAGCCCAGCATGAGTGGTACGCAAAAATTTCCCGCTTTTCCCTCAAGCTGGATGTCACTGAGAAGAGTGGAGCGCTTTCTGGAAGCCTTTTTCTTTTTCTGGCTTTTTCTGGTACTATGGCGGTGTAATGCAAAGAATGGACAAACACGAAATTTCAATTTCCCCATTAGATATCAGTTTTCACTTTTGTCGACTACGGTGAGCTCCAGATTACGTGAAAATTTAGCTTTTAATGGTCTAAGCAATTCAGGGTGTTTAGAATGGCTCCAGCTATGTCAGGGTCGGTATGGAGAAATTCAGATTTCGCTTTTAACTCTCAATTTTTATTATCTAGCTACAGTGGGCTCCAGATTACGTTCTGGAGTTTGGCTTAAATTGATTTGGGAAAGTTTAGGCGTTTTTTTGGGGGGAGAAAAGGAATGGGAGGGGTGCTGGAGGGGATTTTCGATCACTAGGTCATCGCCGTCGACTGCGCAAACAGAAAACGGTGATCGATCGATTGATTTCGTTACTAGCAGTCAAGTATTTAGTTAGATTTTAAAGGAGATACGGTAAAATAAAAAGAAATCACTGAAAAAGCGATTCGACTAAAAATCTCTATTATTTTAAATGCAAATTGCAATAAAATGTCGAGATTTGTCTTTTCTGGAAGGCACGTAAATGATTGAAATCAAATTGAAATAAAATTCCTCATTTCTATCAAAAAAACCCTCTAGCTTACAGAGCTGGCTCCAAAATCTCTATTCCTTTAAATGCAAATTGAAAATAATTTCGAGATTTGTCTTTTCTGGAAGGCACGTAAACGATTGAAATCAAAATTAAATCAAATTGAAATCAAATTTCTAATTTTCCTCAAAAAACCCTCTAGCTTACAGAGCTGGCTCCAAAAATCTCCCTTATTTTAAATGCAAATTGATTTGACTTCAAATTTTAGCCTTTCTGGAGGTCACTAGAGTTTTCTAGAGTTCGAAAACCTTTCGACTCACCTTTCCCCGGGAAATCCTTAGCCGGCTCGTAAGTTTGGCGCTGCGCGTACTTCTTGAATTTTTGTTGGGCCATTTTAGAACGCGAATTAGTAGCTCTGCGAATAGAAGCCTACTGTGCACTCCAGGAAAGCCGAATGTGAGTTTTTGGGGCGGCTGATGGCTGAAGGGGCTACGTGGAAGGCAGGGTAGGCTCGCCCCGGCCTCCCCCCGCATCCCTGCACATACAGTCGCTTGTCTGCCTACCCGTCTGCTCCCTCCGCTCTGCCTGTCTGCCTAGCGGTTGTTTTTGTCTTTTGCGCATCCCTTTCCCCCCCATCCCAGGTCGATCTATTGATGACTATCACCCGTGTACAGCACCGCCCCCCTAGCCTCCCTCGATTCTTGCAGTTCGCGATAAATGTGTCAATTTTTTGAAATTGACACCTTTCATGCTATCCAGCTTCAACGAATTTTCCCTCAAATTCCCTAAAATTTCATTTTTTCCCTCAAAAAATCACTCAAAATCGTTTCAAGGGAAAATCGAAATTTTTTCATTTTTCCCCAATTTCGATTTTTTTTGTCGATTATGATTTTGATGTCGATGATGACTTCCAGATTGGCGATTTTGATCGAAAAAACTCGAAGAAAGTGGGAAAATGAATCGAAATTTGCCTTGCAATTCGTCTCCTCTTACAACCTTGACCCGGAATGAAAAACGCGAAAAACACAAAGACGAAAGACACTGGGGATGTATAAAAACGAGAGATTTTCAAGACTTTTGTAAGTTTTGGGGATTTCGAAGAACAAAAGGAGAGAATTGAGTGAAAAGCCACTTTTCTAAAATGCACCCATTTTCGACAAACTACCGTAATCCGCTAGCCAACTTTTTTTTGCCCTTCTTGGCTTAATGGATAAATTCCTTACGCAACTTTCCTATTGACATCCAGAATAGAGAAAAATCTGGGTTTCATCAAGAATCGCTTGATTCTTTGGGTCTAAAATCTACCAGCTACAAAACCAAGAACGACCTTAAAAGGGTAGAACTCAAAATGAAGGTAAACAACATAGCCAAAAACTCAAATGCTATCCAGAATAGAGGAAAATCTGGGTTTCATCAAGAATTGCTTCTTCCTTGGGGTCTAAAACCTATCAGCTACATAACCAAGAACGACACTAAAATGGAAAAGTTGAAAATTGGCGGTAAACAACTTAGCCAAAAGCCCAAATGCTATCCAGAATAGAGAAAAATCTGGGTTTCATCAAGAATCGCTTGATTCTTTGGGTCTAAAATCTACCAGCTACAAAACCAAGAACGACCTTAAAATGGTAGAGCTCAAAATTGAGGTAAACAACATAGCCAAATGGTCAAATGCTATCCAGGATCAACAAAAAATTTGGTTTCTTTCAGAATTGATCAAGATTTTGTCTAAAAAATGTTTCAACTCAACGCGAGAGAGTGCTAGTCGAGATTAAACAGGCAGGCAGGAGCCACCGTAGCAAAATGAGCTACGGTGGCTACTGTAGCTTATTTTGTCTCATAGCGAAGCCTTACTGTAGCTTTGTTTACTTTATAATCTGTGTTTTTCAGTCGAAGTGTTAATATTTTAATTCAAGAAGTTTCTAGCTTCAGGGAAAGGCCCAAAAAGGCTCAAAAGGGTCCAAAAAGGCCCAAAAAGGTCCAAAAAGACCCAAAAAGGCTCAAAAAGCTGGAAAACTCAAAAACCGACCCTCTTTCCTTTTTCGAATGGCTTCTTTGCTGAAATTGGAAACAGCGTAGATTGTCATCGCCACCGAGGCGATCAACGAAACGTTGAGTCCGACTCGGAGCGAAGTATTGATGAGGAAAGCGGTCAACGCCCATAAACCCCTTCCAACAGCACCCAATTTCGACATGGCTTTCTGGTTACTAATAAAAGTTTGTTAAAATGAAGAACAGACAGAAAATAAAGAAGAAAATACAATAGGAAATGAAAAAATTGCAAAAATGCAAGATTTCTAAAGAAAATAGGAAAAATTCTAAAGGAAATATTGCTATTTTTTAAAAGAATACTGCAATCTGGATGTCACTAGAGCTAATGAAAAAGTTATTTCGTGGAAATTCAAAAATTTTTTAAAAATTTATTTTTAAAGGACTACAGTATCCCTCTAAGGATCGCTAACTTCAATTTAGTCCAAATTTCAATTTTCAAATGATTTCCTAGTTGCGTGACTTCCAGATAGACCAAATTCATTGCAAAATAGGGTACTGTATTTTAAAAAAACTACAGTATCCCTCGGAGTATCGTCGCGTAGTCGCTAGTTTTAAAATCGTCAAAAATTGGATCTTCTTTGCTTTTAGGGTTTCGTGAGTTCCAGATAGGCCAAATTGACTCAAAATGGGATCTGTTTTTTTGTAAAAAGGGCTATAGTAAAGCCTCGGAGTGTTTTGTAGTCGGAAAAGGTCCAGGAATTCAAGTTAAGCCAAATAAAAGTCCATAAAATATCTAAAAATCCATAAAAAACAATGAAGCCATGAAGAAAAGTCATTGAAAGAAATTTTTGAAACAAAAATAAATCGATTTTTTTTGCGAGTTTGGGCCAAAAATTTTTTTTCCACAAAAAAATGATTCATTGCTCGTAAAAAAAAATTTTTTTGCCCGAATTGGCTTAGTGGATAAAATTCTTTACGCAACTTTCCTATTGACATCCAGAATAGAGAAAAATTTGGGTTTTACGAAGAATTGCTCGATTCTTGGGGTCTAGAACCTACCAGCTACAAAACCAAGAACGACCTTAAAATGGAAAGTCCAAAATTGAGGTAAACAACATAGCCAAAAGCTCAAATGCTATCCAGAATAGAGAAAATTTTGGGTTTTAAGAAGAATTGCTTGATTCTTTGAGTCTAAAACCTACCAGCTACAAAACCAAGAATGACCTTAAAATGAAGAAGTTCAAAATGAAGGTAAACAACATAGCCAAAAGGTCAAATGCTATCCAGAATAGGCAAAAATCTGGGTTTCACCAAGAATCGCTTGATTCTTTGAGTCTAGAACCTACCAGCTACAAAACCTAGAACGACCTTAAATGGAAAAGCTGCAAAATGGAAGTAAACAGCAGAGGCAAAAGCTCAAATGCCATCCAGGATCAACAAAAAATTGAGTTTCTTTCAGAATTGATCAAGATTTCGTCTAAAAAATGTTTCAACTCAAGGCAGGCGAAATTTTTTAGTCGATATCCATGCGCCTCTCGGAATTTCGAAGATTTTAAAGGAAAAAAAGGGATAGCTGCATAAAAAGGAGAAAAAAACGGCAAAGAAGCAGTAAATCAGATAGCCCCGGGGCGCCTGGGGACCCCGAGAGGGGGCCCGGGACCCCCCTCGGGCCTAGGGATCTGAAACATTTCCATGCTTCACCCCCAGTACTCGACTTCTGCCCAACTTTGACTAGATCAAGTTCTAGTGTGACATCCAGGAAAGCCGAAAAGGCCGTTTGTTTCCGAAAACCGTAATTTGGAATAGGAAAAATTCGAGTGAACTTGATCGCGATTTCTCAACTTTTCAAAAGTCAATTTTTTTTCTTTTGAAAGCTTCAAAATTCGATGTGACATCCAGGATTTTGATTTCATTTTTTGAATTTGAATTGAATTGAATTTGAATCTGAATTTGAATCTGAATTTGAATCTGAATTGAATTGAATTTGAGTTGAATTTGGATTTGAATTTGAATTGGAATTGAATTTGAATTGAATTTGAATTGAATTTGAATTTAATTTAATTTGAATTTGAATTCAAAATTTACCCACTTTTTCAATTGATTCATTTAAAGAAATAGCAAATTTCGTAAAATGATAATTTAAGTCAAGAATGACTTTCAAGAATTGTGCAGTGCGTTCCAGCTTCACGAATTCTTCAATCAAAACTTCTCTAACAAATACGGGCGGTGAGAAAAAGGGCGGATGAAGAAAATCCATAAGAGCCATAAGATGCATCAGCGAACTCAACTCGCGCAGTGGTAAACAACCGGATTGCGAAATGCGAATGCCCTCTGTTTTCCTTTTGCCCCTTTTTGTTTCTCTTGTTTTTTTTCTCTTTTTTAACTCGAATCCATCCCAAAAAAAGCGGTAAAAAAGGAAAAAACCAAAAAAAAACTCGTGACTTCGATGAAAGTTATCCGAGAAAAAAAAGATGAAAATTGTAAATGAAATTTTGAAAATTTTTATAAAATACCGTAATCTGGATGTCACGACAGCTAATAAAAAAGTTATTTTGTGGGAATTCGCAAAATTTTTTTTTAACTTGCTGCTATGCAGAAATTTGCATAAGGAAAAAATGCAAATTTTAGAGGAAATGCAAATTTTCTTCAATCGAATATCTCAATCTGGATGTCACGACAGCTAATGAAAAAGTTATTTTGTGGAAATTTAAAAAAAAATTAGCTCTTTGCTATGCAAAAATTTGCATAGGAAAAAATGCAAATTTTAAAGGAAATGGAAATTTTTTGGAATATCTCAATCTGGATGTCAAAGCGCTAATGAAATGGTTATTTCTTGAAAATAAATGAAATATATGAAAATTGTAGAATTGGAGACTATGGAGAGCTTAAGGTGCCCTTATAGTTGTTTATTCTGTAAGGCCACAGGCTTTTCTCTTCTTCAATCCTCAAGCTGGAAGTCACTGAATCGAATTTTAACTTTAAAAAAAATGATCTAGCTATTGAAAAATTAATTATTGAAAATTTTGAACAAAATCAGTGAATTCTTGAGTAAAATATGTTGAAATAAGAAAAAGAAAAACCCTTCTTTCCCTTCACCGTTTCAAAATCGCTCCAATCCGAAAGGGGATGGGCAATTTTGGGCGCGCGGCAAAAATTTTTGAATCCAACCCATAGGCCGATTGGAGGGAAAAGAGAGAGCTGGGCAAAAAGAAACGCCCGAGTGAAAGAAAGACGAAAGTTTTCTCGTCGAATCGTCGATCCTGGATGTCATTGTGAGCATTGATCATTGTAATTTCTTCAAATTCGCAAATTCTCTAATTTCAGGTTTACAAAATTCGTCAAAATTCGTCAAAATTCGTCAAAATTCGCAGAATTCGTCAAAATTGAATAAAATGATTTTTCTGCTCAAAGTCTAGGCTCAAATCAAAGACTAGGCTTACAGAATGCACTCCAATTTGATCAATGAGGCTTTAGGAAAAGCAGGATATAGTCAGGTAAAGGCTTTAAAGCATTAGTGAATGAAATTGAGCTTAGGCTCCGGGGCTCAAGCCATCTTTCCAAAAAAAGAGGATTGGCCATCTGCCAAAGGGCCATTCATTGATTTTCTTTTCCCCTTTCCCGATCTTTTTCTTTTTTCTTGTTGTTTTCCTTCGAAATACACCACTATCATTTATGCAATATAGTCCAAATTTCAATTTTTAAATCATTTCCTAGTTGTGTGACTTCCAGATAGACCAAATTCATTGCAAAATAGGGTACTGTATTTTTAAAAAAAGACTACAGTATCCCTCGGAGTGTCGTCGCGTAGTCGCTAATCTTAAAATAGTCAGAAACTGGATTTTATCTGTTTTTAGAGTTTCGTGCGTTCCAGCTAGGCCAAATTGACTCAAAATGGGGTCTGTTTTTTTTGTAAAAAGGGCTATAGTAAAGCCTCGGAGTGCTTCGTAGTCGGAAAAGGTCCAGGAATTCAAGTAAGTGCGATTTTCCCGTCAAAAGCTTTCATTTTGCTAAAAAAATTCGAAAAATCGAGGTTCTGGAGGGCACAACGAATAAAGAAATCATTAAAATTACGTATTTGTTTATTGGAAAAAGTTGGATTTGATGCTTTTGCTCAGCTCGTAAAAATCTACCCTAAAAGAGCTCAAATGAAGAATTAGAGTGAATAATTGAGCATTCTGGAATGCACGAGAACTCTGGGTGAAGTTTGCGAACGAATGACAAGATATTTGACTTGGTCATTTAGATGCTTCAAGATCACAAAAATTTCTACAAAATAATCAAAGAAAATAAAACTCGAAACTCTCTAAATTTTCATTCTGGATAGCAGTAAACAAAATGGAAACGAAAGAAAGAAAAGAAAGACCAAGAAAGGCAAAAGGCTGAGAAAGAGAAATCGATGGGTGTCACATGGTGGGGATGCATTCCAAGGCAAAGCCGGACGCTACTAGCGGACTAGGGGCCCGCCCCTGGTCCTAGTAGGACGCTAGTCCGGCTTTGCCTACCCTGGGCTAGGGTTGAGGCATGAGGAATGAATGGGTCGATACCCCAACAGAGGCGCGGGTGGGTTGGCCGCTGGGACCCTGGACCCGGGGCTGGATAATAGAGCTAGTCTAGTCCTCCCTTTCGCCTTTTGCCTCACTATTGGACAACAATGCGGCCCATCCCATGCCATTGAGAGAATTCCCCTCCCCGAAACAATTCCGTTGAATCCCCAAACTGATGGGTGGTCAGCGCTGGCTGAGGTTAGGCGTCGAAATTTCAAAATGCTTAAAATTTCAAAATTTAGCCACCCAATAGGTAGCGTGACATCCAGGAGGAATGGAGATGGGTTTAAAAGAATAGTTTTCCAGCTAAAATCCGGCTAAAAATGAGCAAAGTCGATCGGGATTATTCTCTGAAGCAGAAAGCTTTCCAAACTGGATTTTAAGCTTTTAGCTAGCTAGTGTGACATCCAGGAAGAATGGAAATTTGTTTAAAAGATTAGTTTTCCAGCTAAAATCCGACTAAAAATGAGCAAAGTCAATCGGGATTATTCTTTGAAGCGCAAAATTGTAAACTAGCTTAGCTTAGCTTTTAGCTAGCTAATCTGACATTCAGGATAGACGAAAAGTCGATAGAATTCGAGTACTATAGCAGTATTTATAATAAAAGGCGAGCTAATGAGTGACCGGCTGGTGAGTGGAGATTATGGAAATCTCTAGGAGACACGAGAGAGCAGCAAAGTCTATTCTAGCTCCAGTATTCCCCTCTCTCCTCGATTCCATTTCAACTTCTCCCCCAGGTGTCACAAATTTTCAGCCTTCTAGGCTAGATCGATAGAATTATAGGTGATCACAGGGATGACCCTGAACCCTTGGACCTTGGACCCTGGAGCTACACCCTGGAGCTTGGACCCTGGAGCTAGACCCTGGACCTTGGACCCTGGAGCTAGACCCTGGAGCTTGGACCCTGGAGCTAGACCCTGGAGCTTGGACCCTGGAGCTAGACCCTGGAGCTTGGACCCTGGAGCTAGACCCTGGAGCTTGGACCCTGGGCTAGACCCTGGAGCTTGGACCCTGGAGCAGACCCTGGAGCTGGACCCTGGGCTAGACCCTGGAGCTTGGACCCTGGAGCTAGACCCTGGAGCTAGACCCTGGAGCTAGACCCTGGAGCTTGGACCCTGGAGCTAGACCCTGGAGCTTGGACCCTGGAGCTAGACCCTGGAGCTTGGACCCTGGAGCTAGACCCTGGAGCTTGGACCCTGGAGCTAGACCCTGGAGCTAGACCCTGGAGCTGACCCTGGAGCTTGGACCCTGGAGCTAGACCCTGGGCTTGGACCCTGGAGCTAGACCCTGGAGCTTGGACCCTGGAGCTAGACCCTGGAGCTAGACCCTGGAGCTAGACCCTGGAGCTTGGACCCTGGAGCTAGACCCTGGAGCTTGGACCCTGGGCTAGACCCTGGAGCAGACCTGGAGCTAGACCCTGGAGCTTGGACCCTGGAGCTAGACCCTGGAGCTTGGACCCTGGAGCTAGACCCTGGAGCTGGACCCTGGAGCTAGACCCTGGAGCTGGACCCTGGAGCTAGACCCTGGAGCTAGACCCTGGAGCTAGACCTGGAGCTTGGACCCTGGAGCTAGACCCTGGAGCTTGGACCCTGGAGCTGGACCCTGGAGCTAGACCCTGGAGCTAGACCCTGGAGCTTGGACCCTGGAGCTAGACCCTGGAGCTTGGACCCTGGAGCTAGACCCTGGAGCTAGACCCTGGAGCTAGACCCTGGAGCTTGGACCCTGGAGCTAGACCCTGGAGCTTGGACCCTGGAGCTAGACCCTGGAGCTAGACCCTGGAGCTAGACCCTGGAGCTAGACCCTGGAGCTTGGACCCTGGGTCCCCTGAACTATGGACCTCAAGTCTAACTCTAGCCCCTGGAAACGAGCACGCACATCAACATAGAAATGAGGAACATAGAACATAGAAATGAGGCCTCTGAGGCCTCCGAGGCTTTCCTGTTGTTGCAGTGGGCGATGATGAGTACCCGAATAATTCCTAATGCCTGAGGTCCATGAGGTGAGGGGTGAGGGATCGGTAATTGCCACATCTGGCACACAAGATCCCTTTCCTTTTCCCCACGCTTTCGGGGAAAAGAGAAAGCGGTTTTGTGGATTCCAGAAAGAAAAGAAATTACATAATTGAGGGAATTTCTTAAACAAAAATTGAAGAAAGAAAAAGTGAACGGGTTTTTGTTTTTTTTTTCCAGCCCAGCTGATCACTGATAAGTCCAGTGACATCCAGAAAAGCTGAAAAGGGAAAAATTTTAGCGATTGGGTAAATGGGGAGAAGTTGGAAGTGGCGGAAGTGGAGTAAACAAGTCAAGGCTCGGCTTAATATCAAAATTGGAGATCTTTGAACTACTAGACTCCAAATGGTACAATGTACTGCCATACAGTAGCCCTACAGGGTCCTACAATAGCCCTACAGTAGCCCTACAGCAGCCCTACAGCCCTTTAAAGCTCTAATGATCAGGCTAATGATCGGGTATCCTACTACCGTAATCCTAACCAATAAAGTCTCCTAGCATTAGTCTTTCAGTCTTTTTAAAGTGCTTAAAATGCAACGTGCATTCCAGAATGGCTAAAAAAGAAACATTTTCTAAAGATCAATATCATAGTTGAGTTGAAATGCCCTTGTTGAAATTTTATGTGTTTGACATGATGGGGAAAAGGAAGAAAAGCCTCAAGTGGCCAGGGATTAGTATGCCGATGAGAAAGGGGACTGCTGGAGCTCATTCCTGTCTTCCAGAATGAGAGGCTGACCCTGGACCCTAGACCTAGACCTAGACCCTAGACCCTAGACCCTAGACCCTGGGTCGTACTCTACGAGACCCTGTATCTTCCGTGATTTGCAAATTTGATGATTTCATTTTCAAGCATGACATCCAGCTTGCAAAGATAGTTGGTTAAAATTTTCGATTTTTCAGCGATTTTCATTTAAAAGCGATGAACGCTGATCAAGCAAAATTCTAATTTTTTTCAGTGATTTTAAACAAATTTTTTGTCGTTTTCAATCAATCTGGAATGCATGCAAGAGTTTGAAACAAAAAAAACCCAAAAAAACTGCACCTCTTGGATCAACGGTTTTGAAGTCGATCCACGGGCCCGAGCCGGCGTGCTTCAGGATCGAGTGCTGCTTGTGCGCTGAAACGAAAGAAAATTGCATTTTTTGGAGACAATTACAGTAGTTTTATGCAAAATTTTGAGTCGTTTATGTCATTTTGACGAATTACGGTGGCTTGGATGCTTTTTCAAAAACGCTCTTTACTAGACGATGGTAGCTGGATGAATTTCTCGAAAACTGAGCCCTTCAGAATACCGTAGTTAATTGATTCTTGCAAATTGGGATGCACCCGACTGTTTGGCTAGTTTAAAAACCCACCTTGGTTCAATAAAAACAGCGCCCCGGGAAAACTTTCTTTACTAGACAACGGTAGCTGGGTGAATTTCTCGAAAACTGAGCCCTTCAGAATACCGTAGTTAATTGATTCTTGCAAATTGGAACGCACCCGACTGTTTGGCGAGTTTAAAAACCAACCTTCGTTCAATAAAAACAGCACCCCGGGATCGCGCAGTAACTCTTGCAGGCGCTCTTCTCCTATTTTTAGATCGAAATTTTCATCTTTCTTCATCGGAATGTTTAAGCTGGAATGCACAAATAATGTTGGCGGATCGGGGAAATCATCAGGGAAATTTGAGATAAAATCGATCGTTTGTGTGCTGGAGTTGGTTTTCAGTGTTGGCTGATCGACGATTTCCATAGAAGTTCCGAAATCTCTCGTTTCAACAAGCGTAACCTGCCTACTGAGCTCCAGATCAAAGCATTTCATCGAAACTTTTGAATTCGGATAGAAATCTTGGCTAGTTTGGGGTCGATCGTCGAAACGGTCGAAATGCTCTCGTCGTGGTGAGTGCGGAGTTGAATAAGTGGCGCGTCTCACACTCGTCTCCTCCGCATTCAGCTCATTTGATGGGAAAACGGGTAACGATGAGCGTAAACGTCGAATATAATAGTCTTTGTCGAATATTTGATTTCTTATGCAACCCTCTTGGAAATAAGTGGCAAAGTGGTGAGGCGAAGTCGTGGCCATTCTCTCCCTTAAAAAATCTCTTTCTCTTTGAAAGTTGAAAAGATTTCGAAAAAGAAAAGCTGCGTTCTGGAAGTCACAGGAGAAGTTGAGAAAGAAATTTTTTGATTAAGACAAATTCTGATCAAATTTATTTTCTGGGCATTGTTGACCTCAAAAAAAGTCGTTAATTTAAAAGCCAAAAAATTTTTTGAAAAGAGAAAAGCTGCGTTCTGGAAGTCACAGGAGAAGCTGAGAAAGAGATTTTTTGATTAAAACAAATTCTGGTCAAATTTATTTTCTGTGGAAAGGTGATCGTTGTTGACCTCAAAAAAAAGTCGTTAATTTGAAAGTCAAAACTTTTTTTGAAAAGACAAAAGTTGCTTTCTGGAAGTCACTGAATAAGAAAATTGAGGAATTAAAAAAATTTCGATCGTTTTTCATTTTGCCATAGTTGAGCTGAAAGAGTTCGAGCCCGTAAATCGATAAGTTTTCGGAAATTTGAAATTCTCAAAAATAAAATATTCCTTCTGCATGTCATCGAGTAGTTTAAAGCAAAAGGAATCTTAAAAATAGAAATTTAAAAATCTCAGAAAGCCATTGCAGTCGACTAAAGCTTTAGCTTAAAAAGTTTGCAAAATTGAAGGTTTATTTTGTGACTTTTCTTTCATTATGGATGTCACAAGGAGGTTTGTGATTAAAATTAGGGCAAAAGGATTCATTTTAAGCTTTGACTGATTGACTGATTGCTTTGACTAGTTGAGAAGATATTTAAAAAAGAGAAAAATAGAAATCAAGCAAAACGATGATATGTGCCAAAGGGAAATGCCTTTAAAATGCATGACCTTTAATCCCAAGAGGAAAAACAAAGAAAGAAAGAAAAGAAAGAAAGAAAAGAAAGAAAGAAAGAAAGAAAGAAAAGAAAGAAATAGGAAACAGAAGCCGGCTAGGATTTCTTGGGGAAAACGGTGAGTTTAAAGAAAAGTTGCAAGAGAAAAGTTGAAAGTGAAAGTTTTTTTCGATACTTGTCGGTTATACAGATATAGCTTTTGACGTTTTCATTGTAAGCAAAAGTTTTTGCAATATTTTTTGGTACTTCAATAGTTTGGCAATGCTTTTGATGTCAATGGCTAAATGGTTTTGGCTTGAATCTGGGGGAAATCTTCGGTACTTGTCGGTTATACATCCACAAAGACAAAGGTTTTCCACTGAACCATAATCGCCCCTCACAAGTTGTCAGCTTGCCCATCCGAGTCTCATCCACGATGTATCATCCACAAAGGCTCATCTCTGTGAAGCAGCCTCATCCGAGTCTTCACGGTTATCGATTCTCGTTCGACTCATCCACTGATCACTTCAGGCACTCGACTTCACTGAACAGAATCACCGCTAACAAGCTGTCAGCTTCTTGCTTAGTCGAGTTGAGTCTGTGGAAGCTCTGTGGATTCTCTGTGGAAGCTCTGTGGATGTATAACCGACAAGTACCGTTCTTTCTAAGCCTTTTTGATACAAATAAACTATTCTTTAGCGAGTTCACTAAATAATATTAATATAATATTATATAATAATATAATATTATATAATAATATAATATTCAAACAATTATTAATATTATCTATCATTTAAAAGCTGCAAATCTTTTCTATAAGATTGACTCATTCATCTAAAAATTTAACCACTTAAACCCGAGCTTTACCTGGTAAACTCGACAAAATGACTACCCTCAATCGATTCACCGTCGCCGAAAACCCCTGGATACAAATTTCCACTCAAATAGCTTCTTTTTAAGCCATAACAACGCAAAAAAAGGAAATCTCTTTGTGTTCTTTGTGTGCGAGCACAATCGCTCTCCATCTGGCATACGTCTCGGGTATAGAACGAAAATTTAAAATAACCTCTAACAATGCAATTTTTATCAATTTTCGGGTGTCCTGCGCTCCAGATCGTGCGAAAATTCAATGGAATACGAAACGCGGGCAACAAAAAGCCTCAAATTCCGATAGACAAGTCTTCTTTGGCATTTTTTACAATTTAGTTTTCTAAAAGCACTGTAATCCACCAATTTCTACCAAATCAACTCAATTTTTTTCTCATTTCATTGGCTTTTTATCAAATTTGACCAAAATTCATCTAATATTCGTCAAATTACGGTAGTTTTTCGAAAATTGGTGCCTTTTAAAGATTGGATTAGCTCAAGAGAAACTACGGTACGATTCACCGTCCCCGAAAACCCCTGGATACAAATTTCCACTCAAATAGCTTCTTTTTAAGCCATAACAACGCCAAAAAAGGAAATCTCTTTGTGTTCTTTGTGCGTTCTTTGTGCGCGCACACAATCGCTCTCCACCTGGCATACGTAAGCTAGAGTAGTTAAAAATTGGATTACGACTAAAATTATCTAGATAAAATTTAGATGTGTATTCCAGATCGCAAAATGAAAACGTTGAAACTAGCGGTAGCGAATGGTTAAGCAATGAAAACGGCATCGTTTCGCTCAGCCTTCGATAGCTGGGTCATTTTTTCGGCCAAAGGAGCATTTTGAAGGAAAAGAGACATGAAAAAAGTGAAATTGGAAGTCAAAAAAGGCAACGATTTGGATGAAAAGGCAAATTCGATGAAATTCGATGAAATTCTTGAAATTCTTGAAATCAAATCCGTCGAGGTGGCCATTTTCAAATGTTTTTTTCCTATTTCCTCTTCTCCATTTTTTTTTAATTTATAAGTGGCCATTCTCGGCGTCGAGTGTCGCGTTGCGAAATCCCGTTTCCTCGGTTTCTCGTCTTTCTGCTCGTTTTTTAACCCCTTTCAATTGCTCCCTCTCAACTCTTTTCAAGAGTAGAGAAAGAGTGACTCAACTCTATCGTCAATTTTTCGTTTTTTTTACTTATTCTTTTTTAAAAATGAGCTCCAGATTTGGGAAAAAATTGAAAATTAAACAAAAATAAAATAAAATAATCTGGTTTTATTTGACAAAAAGCTCTCAAAAAAAACAAGTTTTCATTTTTCAGCTTTCCCCTTAATTCCCCATTGCCAAACTTTAAAATGACATCCAGATTAGCGAAAAAAAAATAAGAGAATGGCTCATCACCATTGAAATTCGCTAAAAATTGAGAGCAAAACTCGACACTACTCTTTGAGCAGCTAAAATACTTCGCTGCCTATTGTACTATCGTACTTCTAGTGCTAGATTTTGCATAAACATTTGCAGATGCGGACGGGTTACTGTAGTTGTCTACCGTAAATACTGTAATAGTACCCGACCCCCCTCGTACAGTCGCGTAGTCGCAAAAGTTTTTTAGTATTTCATTGTTTTTCAAAGCGCCCGTACTTTCAAAAAATGCGTCTTTGGTATCAAAAAATAGCTGAAATTCAGAGCTATTTTTTGATATCAAAGATAATGACGGTGCGGAGTGTTGCGTAGTCTAGCTTTGAACGCGTTTTTCTCGAGACTGGCTGAAGCTACAATGCTCGTTTAAATATCAAAAAATAGCCCTGAATTTCAGCTATTTTTTGATATTTAAACGAGCATTGTAGCATAAACGAGTGTCGAGAAAAACGCGTTCAAAGCTAGACTACGAAACACTCCGCACCGTCATTATGGGGCCGGGGTACTATTACAGTATTTACGGTAGCTGCCTATTGTACTATCGTATTTCTAGTCCCAGATTTTGCATAAACATTTACAGATGCTGATTCAACTCACCGTGATGATGGTGATGAGCGCCGGGGATTTGAATGGCTGATGGTTTCACGTCCTCGTCCGAAATGTCTTTTGGCGGAGTGGGCGGACGGGGCTCGGTCTCGAAACCGCTGAAACATTTCAAATAACAAAATTTCTTTCAGAATCTAGCTGTGTGCTTTCCAGAAGCCGTTTGCTTTCCAAAAAACATTTCCGCAAAACTCACTGATGTCCAATGGATGGTGGGCGAACAAAAGCGTCCAGCTCGTCCTCCTCGTCTTCTTGTGGAAGGGTCTAAAATTGTATTTTCCATAAATGACCAAACTCAATCACTAATGTGCCATCCAGCTTAGAGAAATTCGATAGAATTTTCTGCTCAAATCAAATTCTAACGTTTCAAATTGTCCAGCTATCCAGCGCTGGATTTTTGATTCTATTCAAATGACTTTAAATTGACTGTAAACGTTGAAACTACCCAAACCCAACCTCAGGCAGCTCAGGAATCGTGAGTGGTCCCTCTCTGTCGATCATCAACTCCTCTGGAGTCTGACGACCGAATTGCGGACCGTTGTCCTCGCCGAGCAGCTTTCCCACCGTGTCCCGTCCCGAGTCACCGCTAGGCGATGCTGGATGAGCCTCAGGCTCCTCCTGCATGTTTTGATTCATTCTGGAATTGGAAGTAACGGATAAATTGGGAAATCAGCTCGAAACAGCTGAATTTTCTGGTTCTAAATTATGTTTTTGAGAAAGAAACAGCTTTTTCAGCTTTTCTGGATATCACTGGATATCCAGAAAAGCCTGAGCCTGAGCCTGAGCCTGAGGTCTAAGGCTAAGCTCTAAGCCAAAGCCTAAGCTCTACGGTCAAGCCTAGGCCTAAGCCTGAGCCTGAGCCTGAGCCTGAGCTCTAAGGCTAAGCCTAAGCCTAAGCCTAAGCCTAAGCTCTACGGCCAAGCCTAAGCTCTAAGGCCAAGCCTAGGCCTAAGCCTGAGCCTGAGCCTGAGCCTAAGCTCTAAGGCTAAGCCTAAGCCTAAGCCTAAGCCTAAGCTCTACGGCCAAGCCTAAGCTCTAAGGCCAAGCCTAGGTCTAAGCCTGAGCCTGAGCCTGAGCCTAAGCTCTAAGGCTAAGCCTAAGCCTAAGCCTAAGCCTAAGCTCTACGGCCAAGCCTAAGCTCTAAGGCCAAGCCTAGAGCCTAAAGCCAAAGCACTAAATCGAAGCCAGTCCAAGGTCCAAGCCAGTCCAAGGTCAAACCAAAATCTCACCTTGCTATCATCGCATCGACATCATCGTGAACATCCTCGACGTGTTCTCTAATCGGATCCTCGTCGTGCGCTCTGAGTTTTGGGATTATTCCCTCAAAATTCAGCATTCCTAGCTTTATGGCTTCAGAATCGAACAAGTTTAAGCACGATCGATCCCTTTTTTATCAAATCTGCCCTTTCTGCGATGAAAAGAAATCAAAAGAAAATCGAAAACACAATATTTTGGCGCGGAAATCACCGGGAAAACAATCCCCGGAGAGAAAACGATTTTGAAATCTCCTAAAAGACCCTGAGAAAGAGTTGCCTTGTTTTTTAATAGAAATTTTTGAGATTTCCATAATTCTAAAAGCTTATTTAGCAGTTATGGAGGTCAACTTAGAGTTTAGAAATTTTAGAAATTCAATTTTTTCAAAATCTCAAAAATTTCAAAAATCTCGATTTTCCCCGAAAAGAGTTGGCTCGTTTTTAAATGTAAATCTTTAAGTTATGCAAATTTTCAAGATTTATTTATTCAATTATGGAGGTCACCCTTGGACGTGGATGTTTTAAAAATTTGAAAAAAAGATTTTAAAAAAAATCTCACTGTGTCTCCTTCGGGTAGTCGAGGTGGAAGGGATAAGCCGGCGGGGAGGGCGGGGATGGCTGTTGCTGAAATTTTTCAGTTCTTTCGATTTCAATCGTTTTTGTGACATCCAGAACTAAGATTTCAATCACAAAACGATCCCGAATCTTACCTCATTTGGGGAAAAATCGAGAAGCTGTAATTTTTTTCATTTTCAACTTTCAACTTGTTTTATAGAGCAATTGTTTTTTTAAATTTTAAAATTTTCAATAATTTCCTCACATTTTGTTGCTGGTGTTGATCGATCTCGCCAACTGGCGCGAGAAGATCCGCGAAATCGTCTGAAAAGCACATTTTTGTGGGTTTTTTTTGTTTTTTTATTAAGAAAACGTTGAAATCGGCTTTTTAACGAAAGATTTTTATTTTTCATCACTTTTCTCAAACCTCTTGGTGGAGTTGGATGGCGGGGAGCCGGCTGCGGTGGATGGTCCTGGTAGTCGTCAAGGAAATCGTCTGAAAAATCGAAAATTCAGAGACCAAACCCCGGGAGGGAGTCTGCACTTTATCAGATAAGGTAGCTGGGCCGAAAAATAGCCTTGAACAACTTGTTTTCTTTGCTTTTTTCAATTTTTGCATGACCTGGAAGGCACGGCAGCTGTTTAAGTCAAATTCAGAATCCAGGAAAGGATTCTGTAAGGCACTCTATTCTGGGATACGGTAGCTGGGACGAAAAATAGCCTTGAACAACTTGTTTTCTTTGCTTTTTTTCAATTTTTGGAAAATCTGGAATGCACAACAGCCGTTTAAGTCAAATTCAGGATCCAGGAAGGGATTCTGTAATGTACTGCAATCTGGGATACGGTAGCTGGAGCGAAAAATAGCCTCGAACAACCTGTGTTCTCTGCTTTTTTCAATTTTTGCATAATCTGGAATGCACGGCAGCTGTTTAAGTCAAATTCAGAATCTAGGAAGGGATTCTGTAATGTACAGTATTCTGGGATACGGTAGCTGGGACGAAAAATAGCTTCGAACAACCCGTTTTCTTTGCTTTTCTTCAATTTTTGCATGACCTGGAAGGCACGGCGGCTGTTTACGGGATTTTCCTACACGGAAAGTGCGAACAATTTCTCTAGAAAACCCACGATGTTGATGTGGTTGCTCATTTCTCGGAATATCGATCAAATCATCGTTTCCATGCTCTGGATGCTCTCCGTAGCTTTTCTCCAAAATGTCGTCCCGTGGGCGCTGCATTGGTTGCTGAAAAAAAGAGCAATTTTTCATTTTTACTGAAAAAAAAGAACGATTTTTCATTTTTGTTTAAAAAAGCACTGAAAAATTAGCATTTAAAAAAGCGCTTAAAATTAGCATTTAACTTTCAGACAATTTCGACAGACAGTTCAGACAGTTTAAATGCAAATTTCGATCAATATTTAAATCAAATTTTTTGTTGACTAAAAAAGTGGAAAATTTTTTTTTTGGAAAAAACTGAAAGTTTTTGGTGTTTTAAAGCATGAAAAATGTCGTAATTTGCTCGAAATTTCTTTTATAATCATGAAAATGATGAATCATTCTTAGAAAAATCAAAAAAAGTGCATTTTAAGTTTTTCAAAAATTTCGCAAATTTTCGAAATTTTCGACAAAAAATTCTATTTCTTAAGATAAAGAAAAAAAAGAAAAAAAAATGTTGAGCAATCATTTTCAAATTTATTTCAAATCCTGTTGTGACATCCAGAAAGCATAAAAATCGAGTTGAAATTCGAATTCGTTTTTTTGAAAAACCGAATTTCGGGCCAAACTCGATCGTGCAATGGTTGGAAGAAAATTCAAAAATCCTTTAAACAACTCTTCCGGCTTTACAAAACCCTGTGCTGACATCCAGTAGGCACAAAAATCATGTGGAAATGTCGAAATGAAATTCACTTTTGCAAGCCGGCAACTCGGGCTCAGAGTGAAAATTGAGTCAATTGAGGAAAATTTAGAAAAAGGCTTAAATTTTGAAACGATAGCTGGTCATTTTTATCAGCCTAGGTTCAATTTGGATTCAAAAACTTTAATAAATGATTCTAACTGGACCTCATTGAAGTGTTTTAGCTTATCAAAATTGAAAATGGGAAAATTTAGAAAAACGGCTTACTTTGAAACCATAGCTGGTCATTTTTATCATCCGCGGTTCAATTTGGATTCAAAAACTTTAATAAATGATTCTAATTGGACCTCACTGAAGTGTTTTAGCGCATCAAAATTGAAAATGGAAAAATTTAGAAAAAAGGCTTCAATTTTGAGACCATAGCTGGTCATTTTTATCAGTCGCGGTTCAATTTAGATTTAAAAACTTTAGCATATCATTTCATCTGGACCTCAACATAGAAGATCGCAACAAAATTGGTTTGAAAATATGTTTTTGGGAAATTCGTTTTTTTCAAAAACCGAATTTCGGGTCAAACTCGATGGTGCAATGGTTGGATGAAAATTAAAAAATCCTTCAAACAAGTCTCCGGGCTTTACAAAACCCTGTGCTGACATCCAGTAGGCACAAAAATCATTTCGAAATGTGGGGATTCACTTTTGCAGGGCGCAGAGTGGAGAATGGAACATTGAGGTCATCCCCTTTCATGACCCCCTCAAAAAAGCGCATAGAAAAAGTGAACTAGCAATTCGTGTGAAAGAGAAAAGCGTAAATTGGAGTGCATAGTAGTGTTTCGGATTTTTAAATCATAGACAATTTGCATTTAACATTTCAATATTGCCGAAAATTGACGCTTCAAAAATTCAGTGATTTTCTCGAAAAATTTTAAATTCCAAAATAATATTTAGCTGTTCTGGAGGTCACAACAATTGTTAAAGCAAAGAAAATGGTGAAATTTGTATTTTAAAATAGACGTCAATTAGAGACGTCAATAGTAAAAAACGGAATTTCGGTCTTTTTCATTGTTTTTTTCAAAAAAAGCTCAAATGCGTTCCAGTATTCACAAATTTGGCCATTTCGGCGGGAAGAGGAAAGCCGATTTTTCAAGAAAAGGAAGAGGAGCAAGAGGAGGAAGAGGAGGAAGAAGAGGAAGAGGAGGAAGAAGAGGAAGAGGAAGAAGAGGAGCGAGAGGAGGAAGAGGAAGAAGAGGAGCAAGAAAAGGAAGAGGAGGAAGAAAAGAAAGAAAAGGGGATTTCGGTTAGATGGAGAACCCCCGGGAATCGAAATTTGATACAAACAGAGCAATAAAAATAACTGGTTTCACCATATTTCCCCAAAAGAAAATGCCGAAATGCTCAAAAAAAGAGACACGTCTTTTCAAATTTACGAAATAATTCCTCTCGAAATAATTGTGAGCGCACAACTGCACAAACAAATTGCCAGCAAGTGGTTAGTCACAGAAAAAAAAAGTGGGAATCGATTTTTTTGCGATTTCAATGAAAAGAGAATCCATTCTGGAACGCACAAAACGATTTGGAAATAAAATTTTTTAAATATTCGAGTTTTTCAAATATTCGAATTTTTTGTAAATCGGTTGTCTAAAAAAAATCGAATTTTTTAAAATGCTAAATTTGTCAGTTTTAAGAAATCGATTTTACCCTGTGCATTCCAGAAAAACAAAAGCGAATTGGTTTTTGGGTGGTAAACAAACGGCGAGGCTGTCAACAGGCGGCAAGTGAGGGGAGGGGAGATCGGAGAGAGGATGGATGGATCGGAGAGAGGAAGGATGAGAAAAGTGATGAGGAAGGTGATGAGAAAAGGAAAGTTAACCGGAAATCGAAGAATTTCTCTTTTTCGAGCCCTTTTTTGCTTTAAAGACGCTTTTTTTATTTAAATAGACGAAAAATCATAAAAACTAGATTATCGCTAAATTTCTTCAACTTCAACTTCAAGGCTTTCCTTTCGCTATCCCTCGCAGCTAGTAGCCTAGTGGTTGGCGTGTTTGCGCTTATTTAATGATTGACAAGACGAGTTTAAGCGGGGTGCACAGGACTCGTTGAACCATTGGATGTTGTCGTGGCGATCTCGTGATCGAGATTGCCACGTGTGGAACGGCCAACTAGACGGCCAGCTAGACTGCCAGCTAGACTGCCAGCTAGACGGGCAGCTAGACGGCCAGCTGACGGGCAGCAGACGCCAGCGCAGACGGGCAGCTAGACCAGAGGCTGCGAGCTAGACGGCCAGCTAGACGGCCAGCTAGACGGGCAGCTAGACGGGCAGCTAGACGGCCAGCTAGACGGCCAGCTAGACGGGCAGCTAGACGGGCAGCTAGACAGGCAGCTAGACACCTATGGGGACGAACGCCTATTGTGCGAGATTTAATATGCGTCGCTATCCGTTCAACTCCATTGTGTGGAAGACGAGACGAACGCCCGAGTTCCGATATAAAAGCAATGTGAACGAGCTGCCGACGTGTGCCGTCGAGTGTCTCTACTCTCCCAATCAAACCACTGAACCAACTATTATCGCTGTAATAAAGACTATATCTAAACCAACAATAATCACTAGAGATAAACATCTGTAGTGATTATTATTGGTTTAGATAATCTTCTTCAAAAAATCTCTTCAACCAATATCTTTTTAAAGCATCTTTTATCAAATTTAAATAATAAAAAAGCTTTTTTATTTGAATTTTCTTGGAAATTGAGAGAAATTAAAGTAGAAATTAGCTTAAAAAAAGAGAAAAAAGAGAAAAAAGAGAAAAAAAGAGAAAAAAAGAAAAAAAAAAGAAAAGCCATTTTTATTTAGAGAAAATTGTAGAGCTTAATTCTGGCTTTAAACTGAACCCGAGCTGCACAAATCGCCAGCAAAAACAAAACAAAACAAAACTTGGATCCGAGAGAGTTGCGAAAATGAGAGGGATAGGATCGACAACTCAATCGACAACCATCCCCCTCACCATTCACGACTGGCAGTGTTTTGCTGACAACGGGGCTCAAATTTTCCCCTTGTCCACTTGCTTTTTTCGTACGAGCTGGACCGCAGCTCAGCTGTTGGAAAAGTCGGAAATGAAAAATAACGCAAATCTTGGAATCCAAATTTTTGCAGCATCTAATCCTGACCACTTTTTACCGCTTAAAAGCAAATTTGCATTTAGAAATAAAATTTTATGTAAATTCTGGATTTCACGGAAGTGTTTTAGCTTATCAAAATTGAAAATGGGAAAATTTAGAAAAACGGCTTAAATTTTGAAACGATAGCTGGTCATTTTTATCAGCCTGGGTTCAATTTGGATTCAAAAACTTTAATAAATGATTCTAATTGGACCTCACTGAAGAGTTTTAGCGCATCAAAATTGAAAATGGGAAAATTTAGAAAAAAGGCTTCAATTTTGAGACCATAGCTGGTCATTTTTATCATCCGCGGTTCAATTTGGATTTAAAAACTTTAGCATATCATTTCATCTGGACCTCAACATAGAAGATCGCAACAAAATTGCTTTGAAAATATGTAGATATGAGGTTCGATATATCTAGTCAGGGCTTAGGCCCTGGGAGCCTAGGCGACGGGGGCGAGAGGGTTGCCGGCTCTCTTTTGGTGGCTAATTATTGACCAGCGCCTGGCCTTGCCGGCCACACTACTTGCAGAATAGCCACAAAGGAACACAAGAAAACCCCAGCGGCGTAATTTGTATTCTGTGGAGTTTTTTTTGAGCTGAAAAGATCGAAAACTTCTTTGCTCGAATTTGATGGACTGAAAAATATAATTTTTCAAATCTAAAAAAATAAAACTAAATCCTGGCAGGCACGGTGACGATTTTATGTAAAATTTTCGAATTTGCATGATTCGAAAAATTTTTGAATTTCATGCAAATTTCCGAAGCACCACTTTATACGAGTACCGTAGCTTTTGGCGTCAAAATTTTGTCTTAATGTTCCTATCTGGAGGTCACAGGAGCCATTGAAATAGAAAAAGAGTTGAAAATTTCACAAAACTACAGTACTCGTTTGACGACGTTTTACACCAATTTACAGTACTACAGTACTACATTACAGTACTACATTACAGTACTACATTACAGTACTACATTACAGTACTACATTACAGTACTACATTACAGTACTACATTACAGTACTACATTACAGTACTACATTACAGTACTACAGTACTACACTACTACAAAAGCTGTTGCTCTTTCTGGTGTGCCCTCCAGAAAGAGCGATTTCCCTAAAACCAACCGCATTCGGTGCATCAATATCGCCGGAAATCCTCTCCAACACTTGCACGTCGTTCTCGTTTCTCCCCGGTGCTTCGACGATTTGCCCATCGATTTTTGACCCTTGTGCTCCCATTCTCATCTCGTTTTTTGGCTTCTCAATTAGCTCAAAACCGTCACACTAAAAAAAAGGCACATCATTCACAACACCTCGACCACCTCATCGTTTTCTAAGTAGTGGAAAAGCTACCGTAATCTTGGCGGGTGGAAGATAGCCGTTAGAAAGCTTTGAAAGCTAGCCCGGGTTACGGTAGCTTTGTCTACATTTTAGAAAACGAGAAAACGACAGTGATTGATAAGGAAAAATCTTGCTTAGAAAAAATGCGACTTTAATTGAAATTCGATTTTTTCCGAATACTGTAAAATGACAATTTCTCAAATTCAATAGACTCTGTGCCTTCCAGCTTGCACAATTTCAAACATCTAATCCCATAATCATAACATTTTAACGCCAAAAAAACTCTTAGAGTCATTCTTGTTCTACTTGATTTCTTCTTATCAATCACTGCATCACGACAACAAAATTTTTTTCATTTCACAACATTACCACCAAGCCGCATTCCATCAAATTGTTGAAAACAAAGAAAAAATCTTCAAAAAAAGCTTCGAAAAGATAAAGAAGAGAGATTTGAGAATTGGATTTCGAAAAGTTTGAGGGATCTAACGATTAGAATCTAACGAAGGCTTAGGCTAGGCTAGGCTTAGGCTAGGCTTAGGCTAGGCTTAGGCTTAGGCTTAGGCTAGGCTAGGCTTAGGCTAGGCTTAGGCTTAGGCTTAGGCTAGGCTAGGCTTAGGCTAGGCTTAGGCTTAGGCTAGGCTAGGCTTAGGCTAGGCTTAGGCTTAGGCTTAGGCTAGGCTAGGCTTAGGCTAGGCTTAGGCTAGGCTTAGGCTAGCGGCTTAGGAAGCTTAGGCTCAGGCTCAGGCTAGGCTTAGGCTTAGGCTTAGGCTTTGGCTCAGGAACAGGAACAGTGTCTGCTTCCAAGACAAATCCTCATCGGTTCACTCAGGATTAGGCTTAGGGTTAGCCTAAGCCTGAGCCAAAGCCTGAGCCAAAGCCTAAGCCTAAGCCTAGCCTAGCCTAAGCCTAGCCTAAGCCTAAGCCTAGCCTAAGCCTAAGCCTAAGCCAGCTAAAATGGAAGAATGACCATTTCTCGGCCATTCAGCCTTTAGAGAAGAATGAAAGGAGACGAAAAAAAAAGAGAAAAATGAGCTTCGGAAGATGATTCACATGAGTTTCCGGCTTATGGTGATAAAGGGATTCTTTTGAAGTTTCCAAAAGCTATATCAGTTTAAAAGTTTAACAATATTAGAATAGACTATCAAAATGGCTGCTAGAGCCTGTAAACCCTGGCAATTGAAGAAATTAAACCCGAGTTTTACTTCGTAGACGCAGCAAAATGACTCTCTCCAATCGATTCGCTGACTCGGGAAAACCCTGGCTACAAATTTACAGCAAAATATCTTCTTTTTTTTTCTTTTTCTTTAGCTCTTTAGCTCTTTTTTCCTTTATCAAAGTGCTATAAGTTTTGTTTTGAATCGTTCATTTTTGAGAGTCGATTCAACGAAAAGAATTGACGTACTTATAATCTAAATCCGATATCATTTTTAAATATCATTTTAAATATAATTTTAAATTGAGTCTAAATCGGGAATAAAATAAAATAAAATCTCAATAATTTAATCTGAAATAATCCGATTTCTGCAGGCCGTTCATCTCTTTTTTTATGAGATTCCCTAAATGATTTCTGAATGGATGGAAAGGAGCGAACGGCAGAACTGAAGATCCCGGATTGGCCATAGTGACAATGGTAGAGTGACGCTCAACGCTTGCTCAACGCTTGCTCAACGCTCGCTCAACGCTTGCTCAACGCTTGCTCAACGCTTGCTCAACGCTTGCTCAACGCTTGTCAAGCTTGCTCAAGCTGCTCAAGCTTTCAAGCTTGCTCAAGTTGCTCAAGTTGCTAACGCTTGCTCAACGCTTGCTCAACGCTTGCTCAACGGGGAAGCTGACCACTTGCTCTTTTCCCTGATTTTTTATTATATCAATATATCAATAAATTTATAATAATATCCCTAATTTTTGGCATTTTTTACACGAATTTTTAGCCTAAATTTTTAGCCAAAATTTCGCTATAAAAAATTGGCTATTTTTTAATACAAAATTCGATCCTATTTGATTGCAAAGAGTCAGCAAAACATTTACTTTTATCGAAATCGATTTCGTTGTAAGCTTTGTGGAGGTAAAAGTGATAAGGTTGGGATGATTGACGATCATTCAGCCTAGATTTCAACTATTGGAGAATTTGCGAGCGAAAAAGGCATAAAAATGAAATTGAGCACTCTTAAAAAGAGATTGAAAGCTCTCATAGATCTGGGACACGTCTTAGGAAACAGAAACGGTTTTCGAGAGCTGGAACATCGTCTTAAAAACCTAGAAATGTCGTGAAGGCCTAGAAATGCGTTGTGAGCTCCAGATTGAAGAAACAGATAGAAAGCAGGAGCTGTTTTTGATGCGAGCATGGGTTTTGAGTCATGGAGTTGATGTGGAATGAGCTCGAGGTGTCCATTTTGGTATTCTTATTGAGATTATGGCCTAGAAGTGTGTTGTGAGCTCCAGATTGAAGAATCAGCTAAAATGCAGGAGTTGTTTTTGATGCGGGCATGGGGTTTGAGTCATGGAGTTGATGTGGAATGACCTCGAGGTGTCCATTTTGGGGCTTTTATTGAGATTATGGCCTAGAAGTTCGTTGTGAGCTCCAGATTGGAGAATCAGATAAAAAAAAGGAGTTGTTTTTGATGCGAGCATGGGTATTGAGTCATGGAGTTGCTAGGGAATGACCTCGAATGCCAATTTTGGTATTCTTATTGAGATTATGGCCTCGAAATGCGTTGTGAGCTCCAGATTAACGAATTATTTGTATAGGATAGGTTATTACGGTCGTTTTTCGTCTAAATGTTACCGTAATCTACCCCTACAGTATCATCGAATTGAGAATTGAGAATTACGGTAGCTCACTGTCATTGTCATCTTTCGTGAGCTCCAGTTTGAAGGTCTAGATGAGAGAGTTTTACAAAAGTTCAAGAAAAGAGCCTTTTTCAGCTTAGGTAAGGTTTTTTCATTTGAAAATCAAGTGATAGAATAAAATTGTGAGCTAAAATTGACAAGTATGCGAAAATATCGACTGACTAAAAGCGTGTCGAGTCTGAAGACCTAAAAAGCTGCGTCAAAATCGGAAGATGATTCATAAAACATTCAAATCTCAAAATGATACCTCTTGTTTGTCGGTTTTTATCAAAAAAACTATAGGAAATGTGAATGTTTGTGAATCTTGTGAATTTAACGGCCATTGAAATGCTCGTAAAAGGGATAGAAAGGCAGAGTCAAAGGCAGAGTCAAAGACAAGAGTCATCCCTCAATAAATTCTCCCTTTTCTCTATCTTTCACAAAAAGAGTTTCATCAAAAAGTTTAATCAAATCAAATTCAAATCTTTCTCAATCATTTTCTTTAGCTTTATTCATCTTTATTCATTGTTGAAAGAACGAGACAGACGGATGGAAGGACAGACGGACAGACGGACGGACGGACGGACGGACGGATGGACGGACAGACGGACAGACGGATGGACGGACAGACAGACGGACAGGCGGACAGACGGACAGACGGATGGACGGATGGAAGGACAGACGGATGGAAGGACAGACGGACAGACGGACGGACGGACGGATGGACGGACAGACGGACAGACCGATGGACGGAAACGGACGACGGACGGACGGACGGACGGATGGAGGACAGACGGATGGGGCGCGGATGGGACAGACGGATGGAAGGACAGACGGATGGAAGGACAGACGGATGGACGGACAGACGGATGGAAGGACAGACGGATGGGAGGACAGACGGATGGGAGGACAGACGGATGGAAGGACAGACGGATGGAAGGACAGACGGATGGAAGGACAGACGGATGGACGGACAGACGGATGGAAGGACAGACGGATGGGAGGACAGACGGATGGGAGGACAGACGGATGGAAGGACAGACGGACAGACGGACAGACGGACAGACGGACAGACGAACAGATGGACGGACAGACGGACAGACGGACAGACGGACAGACGAACAGATGGACGGACAGACGGATGGACGGACGGACAGACGGATGGACGGACGGACAGACGGATGGACGGACGGACAGACGGATGGACGGACAGACGGACGGACGGATGGACGGACAGACGAACAGACGAATAGACGGACAGACGAATAGACAAACAGACGGACAGACAAACAGACGGACAGGCTAACAGACTGACAGACAACAGACAAACAGACGGACAGACGGACAGATAAACAGACGGACGTCGTCTCTTCTGCTTTATATATAGTGACTTCTGTTGTAGCTAGATTGAGTCTCAAGTCTTTCAATTTGTGACTACGCGACTTTACGACGGGAGATGGGGTACTATTACAGGATTTACGGTAGGTTACGGTAGGATGATTGGATATTAAATTCAGATTTTAGTCAAGAAATCCGCTGATCGCGAAACTAAACCCAAAAATTCATTTAAACTATCGTTTTTTCGTATTCAATTATTCCAAATTCAATTCTAGATTCAAAATTCGATTTTTCTATAACTTTTATAAGTTCTAGTTTTATTTTTAGACATACCTTTTTTATGAAAAAGCCCGGGGATGTAGCGCCGAACATTTTTTGAAGAAAATTTCAATGATTTTCAATAATTTTCAACGATTTTCAAGCTTTTATAGAAAGAATTAAGTAAAAATTTCGAAATTTTCAATCTTTTGGCAGAGGTTTGACTCGTTTTTTTGGCCTTCTTTAGCCTTCTTTAGCCTTCTTTAGCCCTTCTTTGCCATTCTTGATTTGAGCATTCCGCTGGGGAATCCTTCTAGAGATTGAATTTCCACAAAAAATCAGAAATTTCTGGAATTTCGGGGAATCTAAACTAAAAATTATTAAAACTAACATTTAATTTAAAAATAACATTATTAAACCTTGTTGTGACATCCAATTTGAAAGAAGAAATAAAATTTTTCAAAGGTTTCACTTGAAAATCTGAGTTTTTCCATGATGGGAAAGCTATTTTTGGCTCCAAAGCAAAAAAATTCAAAAGAATTTCGATGCTTTCTTAAAACAAATCGTTAAAATAGACTGTACCACTAGTTTCCAGCATCCAGAGAAATCACAAGGCATAACTTTAGCTTTAAAATCGACTCTACCAATAAAGGATGGGCCAAAATCACCGAAAAATTACCAAAATTACCAAAATTACCAAAATTACGATGCTCACTCACTCGCAAATGCGCATATCTTCAAACTTGTGCTGTTTTCTGATCTCCAATGGCCGGCAAGTCGTCCGGATCTTAATCCGATCGATTTTTCGGATCGATTTTTCGGATCGATTTTTCCGATCGATTTTTCCGATCGATTTTTCGGATATCCAATGGATTGGAGTGCCCCTTGAAGCAAAAGCATCTTCAAAACCACACAAAACTGTTGATAGTTTGAAAAAAAAGCGCTCGAAAAGGCTTGGGAAAGGCTGGATCCCGGCTTGGAAAGAGCTGGACCTTCACGCCACGGTCCAGGCTTTTCCACAACTTTTGAACGCCTGTGTAAAAGGTAATGAAGATCTGTTTGATATGTAACGGTCATTTTGGCCCACCCAGAAACCCAGAAATCCAGAAATCCAGAAACCCAGAAACCCAGAAACCCAGAAATCCAGAAACCCAGAAAACCTCAAGGCACAACTTTTAAACAATTAAATCCCCTTTTAAAAAGCCTACAGAACAAAAGAAGATTCAAAATCACTAAAGAAATCGATTGGCATAATGATTGGCGTTCTTTGTTGGCTTTGTTGGCGATCGGGGTGATCGCTTGCAATCTAGCGTACCATTTAGGGTATATAAGGCTTCTTTTGGAGGCCGTAAAGTGGCAAGCGAGCAAGGAAAATTTCCTCGATTTCTCAGAGTCTTTCAAAGAATCTTTACAAATCTTTTCCGCCAAAAGAAATTCGGATTTTCGGCTCGGCTTTTTGGCTCGGATTTCCAGGGGTTTTTTTGGAAAAAACTCACATCTGGATCGTCGGGCAATTGTCCAAAAATCGATTGTTGCATTTGAGAGGCAAAATTTTGCGAATACTAAAAAATAATAATCAATTTTCATTCAAGATCTCGAAGAAAATCAAGATTTTTAAACAAAATTCACCTTTTTTTTTGGAACACTTTGATTGGGACACTTTTTAGAAAAGAAATCCTTATAAAAAGCCTTTTTCAAACCCCCTTTCCCACCCTAAAACCTGCCCACAGCTACCGTAACCCGGAAATATTATTTTTATTTTTTATTGAGAATTTGAAATTCTGATTACACAAAGTTTTCATGTGCCTTCCAGATCGGCGAATAACGAAACATTTGACGGATTTCTAGAGAACCGGGCTGCCAAAGAGCCCTGAACTCATTTATTCCTACAGTACTGGACCTACAGTAACTAGTAAACTATCAGAAGACTATCGTTACATAAAAGAGTCTAATGGGACACTTTTTAGACAAGAAACTCTTATCAAAAGCCTTTTCAATCCCCCTTTCCAGCGCTAAAACCTGCCCCCGACTACCGTAATCCGGAAATTCTTTTATTGAGAATTTGAAATTCTGATTACACAAAGTTTTCATGTGCTTTCCAGATCAGCGAACAACGAAACTTTTGACGGATTTCGGTGGAACCGGGTTGCCAAAAGGCCCCGAACTCATTTACTACTACAGCACTAGACCTACAGTACCCAGTAAACTATCAAGAAGATTATCGTTACATAAAAGAGTCTAATTTAGGATCCAAGTTCTAGATCTAGATCAAGTTACGATAGTTAAAGCAAATCTAGGAATTTGTAAGCGACTCACCTGCTCGAGCACGTCATCGCTGGGACGCTCGACCTAGAAATTGTAAAATGATTTCAAGAACAAGATTTCAAGAATTTTTTCACATTTTCAGATAACATGACATCCAGGATTAAGTCCTCGGCCGTCATTTTCACAAAATATTCGAACCTTCTCGAATCCGGTGCTGTCGATCGATTCAGGATTCGAATGATCTCTGGGCGAAAAGTCGGGAATTGCCTGGAATTCGATTTTTTCGAAATAGACTTTCCCAGTGACTTCCAGATCTTCCGAATATTCAATAAAAATCTAATTTCGAAGAGTTTTTTGTTTAGAAAAGTTGAAGAACTCAAAATTTTCCTTACCATATTTTGCCCGTGACGTGGCGAGGCGTTTGGCGAGAAATCGTTTGGCGGGGAATCCATCTGAAAGAAAATCGAATGAAATTCAGAAAAAAGTTTCATGGTTGGCCTTTGATTGATTAAAAGATGCAGTTCGGCGAGTCGGGTAATTGATCCAAAAATTTGCTTACGATTACGCTTATGATATTGCTTTAGGCAACTCTTGTGACACCCAGGATTCATGAATCTGACAAAAATTTTGAATTCTCTTTTAAAAAAGCCCAACTTTTCCTTGAGCACCTGAAAATGGGTAATTGAACCGAATTTTTTTTCGCTTTTTTTTTTACGAAAACGCTTTCTTCAAGCCTAGTGACACCCAGGATTCATGAATTTGACAAAAATTTTGAATTCTCTTAAAGAAAAGCCCAACTTTACCTTGAGCACCTGAAAATGGGTAATTGAACCGAATTTTTTTTCCGCGAAAACGCTTTCACTAGGCCTAGTGACACCCAGGATTTCTGAATCTGACAAGAATTTTTAATTTTCTTGAGAAAAACCCCAACTTTTCCTTGAGCACCTGAAATTGGGTAATTGAACCGAATTTTTGTTTCACTTTTTTTTCGCGAAAACGCTTTCACTAGACCTAGTGACATCCAGGATTTCTGAATCTGAGAAAAATTTTGAATTCTCTTTAGAAAAAGCCTAACTTTTCCTTTACTACTTGAAATTAGGTAATTGATCCGAATTTTTTTCGCTTTTTTTTTGCGGAAACGGTTTCACTAGGCCTAGTGACATCCAGTTTTCGCGAAATTTCAAAAAAATTCGGCTTCTTATTGGACAAACCTTTTGCTGAGCTTTCGAATCGGTGAGCAGCACGATGTGCGTCGATTTGAATGAAGGGATTCCTTGTTGTGGCTGGCTTGAAGCAACTGGAGTTTTCTGGCGATCGAAACGAGACTGAAATCGAGGAATTGAGGATTTCTAGAATAAAATGAAAAAAAAAAGACTACTTTTTTGAATATTATTAGAGAAATTTTGAAAGAATATTCAGTTGGGGAGGGAATTTTTTTCGCCACGAAGCAAGTGGATAAACTAATAGGTTTTAACTCGCGAAATCACAATTTTTAGCCCTTCTGGAAGTCACGAGGGAAAATTGAAAAATTGGATTCGAAAAAAATTAATTTACGAAATTTTGAATTTCGAAAATTTTCAACTCTGCAAACTGAAAATTTTGAAAAATTTTCTAGATCGAATTTTCACTGGATTTTTTTTCAATTCGCTTCTGTGCCTTCCAGATCGGTGATTTCGATTGAAAAAAAGCTAAATATTCAAGCAAAAAGTAGCCTTTTCCATCGAGAACTCAAACCGGGCGACTTTTCTCGTCATTTTGCTGGTAAAAACGAAATTTTTCGCAAACAAAAACAAGAGCTTTTAAAAGCCGATAACGATATCGGTAAATTCCGGTAATTTTTTCCGGTAATTTCTTACAAATACCTTTTTTTGTTTGATCAATTCATGATCGAGAGAGACTGCGTAATTGAACCGAAAATCGAGATCACTCAAATGATTCAAATCGATTTCAAACCACTACAGTATCTCTCGTGACTTCCAGGATTAACAAAAATTTGATTTTCAACGATCATTTCATATAGTTTTTATCAAATTCATGTTCCAGTCTAACCGAAAATCGAGAATTATTTAAATGATTCAAATCGATTTCAAATCGCTACAGTATCTCTCGTGACTTCCAGGATTAGCAAAAATTTGATTTTCAATGATATTTTCATATAATTTCTACCAAATTCATGATCGAGCCTAAATGGGACGAAAATCGAAATCACTCAAACGACTCAAATCAGTCTCAAATCGTTACAGTATCTCTCGTGACTTCCAGCATTAGCAAAAATTTGTTTTGCCAACGAAAATGTCAACAAAAATGTGAGGAAACGAACCTGTTCAAGTGCTTGATTGATTGTGTCAAGCGCCGAGACGAAATCCGCTCTTCCTTGACTCGAGGCAATCGAAGAAAACGAAGCTTTTTTGAAGTCGAGCGGTTCGGCTGTAAAAATTCTGAGATTAGGGATTGGAAAAAGTAAAAATTGGTTTTAAAAATTAAAAAAAAAATTTAATTTAATTGAATTTTGCAAAAATTTATATAAAAAAATGAAGAATTGAGTGAAATTTGAATAAAAAAAATAAAAACTCGAATAAAAAAGACTTTTTTGATTTATCAAACCGATGCTTTTGAGCTCAGAAAGCTCGCCGATGTCGTCATCTTTTTCGAGCTCGTGCTCCAACTCCGATTCCGAGAATATTGTCGATAAATGCGAGCGATTAGCGAGTGGAGACGTTTGATAGCCAAGTAGAGAAGAATTCCCTGCAGAATCCTCCTTTTTTGTCTGTTCTGGAGCGCACGAAACTCGTTTCTCTCTCATTTGAATGTCCTCCTCCCCTTTCGCGTTCTCTGACAACAACTCCTCCAAATGCTCTAACGCTGTTTGTGCCAACGTTGGTAAACTCTCTTCATTCTTCAAGATTACCGTTTCCTGGAGGTCACTAGGAGTACTGAGTGGATCGGATGCGGAAAATGACGTCATTTCTTGCAGTTCAGCTTCAGCAGCTCAGCTCAATTACCCGATTTAATAGCTGCTGAGTTTTATCGATTTTCTAGTGGAGTTGACGTTTTTTTTAGCTTCTGGAAGGCAATCTGGAAGTCACAAGGAAGAAATATAGTAGTTTTGGGAACACTCGTCAAAAAGTCGTCAAAGTGGTTTCGGCAGGAAATAGCTGGAGGGTTTTGAGGGGAATTTTGAGAGAAATCAAGAGGAATTGAGGAAAAGAAGGGGATTTTTGGAGCTCACGAGAGAGGTTTTTCGAAACGGATAGGCACAGGCAACGAAAATCGAGACGATGCTTGAGTCGAACAGCTGCGACTGAGCCAAAAAAAAAATCGAAAAATCAAAAAAATCAAAAAAATTTTTTTTTTAAATCGAAAGTTTCCGGTTTTTTTTTGGATTTTTGGGAAGCATGCGTTCCAAAAATTGGAAAAATTCTGGAAAAATGGCTTGGAAATTGTTAAAATTCAAAGATTTCAATCCGATCTCGAAACGATCTCGAAACGTTCGTTAATTTAAAGCAAAGATGTCACTTGAAACGCGAAATTTGTTCAGAAAAGTTAGTCATGACGAAATATTGAAGAGAAAGGGAGGAATGGCAGAAAAACGCGAGAACAGGGTGATTTCAAAAGTGCAAATACGCAGGGACGCAGGGAGAGGAGGGCAGACCACGTGCCTTTTTCTGACCACCCCCCTTTCCCCCATTTTCCCAAATGCTCCCCGCGTTGAAATCATCATTTTTAGCCCTTCTGGAAGTCACTAGGCAAAATTATAAAATTGGATTTGAAAAAAACTAATCTACGAAATTTCGAATTTCGAAAAGTCAAATTTTGGAAAATTTCAACTTTGACAAAATTTTTTTAATTTTTTAAATCGAAATTTTATCGAAATTTTTTTTAAAATCCGCTTCTGGGCGCTTCAGATTGGGGATTTTGAGTGAAAAAATCTTTAGTTATCAAGGAGAGGAGCGGAGACCACGTGCCGTTTTCTGACCACCCCCTTTTCCCCCATTTTCCCAAATACTCCCCGCGTTGAAATCATCATTTTTAGCCGTTCTGGAACGCATTAGGCAAAATTGTAAAATTGGATTTGAAAAAAACTAATTTACGAAAATTCGAAATTCAAATTTTCGAAAAATTTCAACTCTAACAAAATTTTTTTCAATTTTTTAAATCGAATTTTAGCAGAAATTTTTTTTAAATTTGCTTCTGTGCGCTCCAGATTGGGGATTTTGTTTGAAAAAATCATTAGTTATCAATATTTTTGAGCGATAAGATGCGAGAGTTCCTTTTGCTCGGCTCAGCTTCGACTGTTTTTGCAAAAATTCGTAAACAACCATCATTGTTTTTTTATTTTTGCGAATCACCCCAAAAACCTCAAAATGGGCACTTGTTTATTTGTGATTTTTGAAAATGGAAACAAAAATGAGAACGTAAAAAAAAATGTGGCTTCGATTTTTCCAACATAGACACCACAGAGGGGAATTTTCTTGCGGCACAAAAATCTCGCCACTTTGGTAATCAATTCGAAATCTGACTCGATATTCGGCAAAGCTGGAGCGCACAGAATTTTTGAGAATTGGGAATTTAAGGAAATATGTGAATTTGGATAGCTTTTCCATTAGGATTGAGTTCAAGCTCGAATCTCGCCACTTTGGTAATCAATTCAAAATCTAACTTCAGATTTGGCAAAGCTGGAGCGCACAAAATTTATGGGAATGGAAAGTCGACGGAAAAGATGGAGTTTGAAAACTAGCTCTTCCTAGAATCGAGTTCGAGCTCGAATCTCCCCACTTCGGTAATCAATTCAAAATCTAACTTCAGATTTGGCAAAGCTGGAGCGCACAAAATTTATGGAAATAGAGAATTGAAGAAAATATGTGAATTTGAATAGCTTTTCCATTAGGATCGAGTTCGAGCTCGAATCTCCCCACTTCGGTAATCAATCCAAAATCTAACTCAAGTTTTGACTGATCTGGAACGCACAGCGACTATTTTCAATTTAGAAATTTGATATAGAAAGAAATATGGAAATTCGAAAATTTAGTGACGTCATTTTTGTTGCTCAGCTCAAATTTTTTTTGGAAAATTGAAAATTTTAAGATTTTTTTTGACTAGGGGAAAAAATGATAGCCAATTTGACGAAAAACATCGAGAAAATTGGAGAGATTTTTAAAAATTTCCGGGCAAACGACGGTGGATCATTTACGCACTCAAAACCCAGCTTTTCGTGGCTCCCTACCGATCTCGAATCGACTTTTTTTTGAATCATTTTCGAGTAAATAAAATCGAACACTCCCCGGGACACGTGAGAGATTTCCGAAAAAAAAAAGAAAAACAGAAAATGAAAGCAGAAAATGAAAACAGTCGATATTAGTGGTAGAAATGAGTTTGAGGCTGGAAAACTTTATTTCTTTTGTAACCAATCAAATTTTCCCTTAAATTCCTCCAAGCTGGAGTGCACGAGGGGGGGAATTTTGTAAAATTAACCATTTTAAAAAGACTAGCAAAAAATCGAAATATGTCCGGAAAGAGTTTGAGGCTGGAAAATGGAAATTTCTTTCGTAACCAATCAAATTTTCCCTTAAATTCCTCCAAGCTGGAGTGCACGAGGGGGGGATTTTGTAGAATTAAGAATTTAAAAAGACTAGCAAAAAATTGAGATATATCCGGAAAGAGTTTGGCTCTGAAAAATTGAAATTTAATTGGAAAGAAAGATTTTTGAAAGCGAGGCTAAGCAAGAACCAGGCTAAGCAAGGCTAAGCCAGGGATGGTTCACAGAACTGGTTCAAATTTCGTAAGCCAGGTTTTTTTTTTGCCCAATCGCGTTTGAAGCAAACGAGGCTGGGAAACGGGAATTTCTTTTGTAACCAATAAAATTTTTCTTTAAATTCCTCGAAGCTGGAGTACAGGAAAGGGAAATTTCGTAAAATTGAGTATTTTAAAAAGACCAGCAAAAAATCGAAATATGTCTGGGAAGAGTTTGAGGCTGGAAAACGGGAATTCTCTCGCAAACAATAAAATTTTTCTTTAAATTCCTCCAAGCTGGAGTACAGGAAAGGGAAATTTCGTAAAATTAACAATTTTAAAAAGACTAGCAAAAAATCGAAATTGGTTCGGAAAGAGTTTGGCTCTGAAAAACGGGAATTTAATTGAAAAGAAAGATTTTTAAAAGCGAATTCCTCCATTCTGGAAGTCACTATTTCGAAATGCGAAACCAAAATGATTTAATTGAGAAAAGATAAAGAAAATCTTTTAAATGAGTGACAGAAATTTTTGAAAATTCTTATCTGGGTGTTTTTGTCTCTCTCGAGTCACCCAGGGGTTTAACAGAAAAGAAATAAAGCCGCATGGATGACACCGAGCTTTTTCAGGCACCGAGCTGTGCCCTCTTTCCTGGCCTGTACCCTCAGCGACCACGTGGTACCGGGGAGGAAAGGGGCGCTGACCCTCACTCCCCATATCAGCTGATCCCTGACTCTAACCGGCCGCTCAACTCGAGAATTTCGATAGATTTCGAATGGAAACTTTCCTTCTGGAAAGCACAAAAGGTTTTGGAAAAAAGAAAATTCAGAATTTCATTAATTTCATTAATTTCATTAAATTTCATTAAATTTATTAAATTTCATTAATTTCATAAATTTAATTAATCAAAAATTCTGTTTTAACATTTTGACTCAATATTTTTCCTAGCTTATGATATGCTTTATTCAGTTGAAGCGACATTCAGCGACGAAACAAAATCACAATAATTACCCGGGAAACCACTCAAAAAACAGACCCAAAAGATAAATAGATACCTGAAGAAAGAAATCACGGAGCAGACAAATCAATTGCCGAAATTGCGGCTTTAAATCTAAGCAAGAAGCAAGCAAAGCAAGCAAAAAAATGGGTACTGTATTTTCCCTAATAGTAGTGGACTCAAAGCTTCGCCCCAAAGCCAAAGAGCTGAAGAGTTGGACTTGAAGAGTTGGCTTGGTCCGTTTAAAATACCGTATTTTCTCTAATACTAGTGCACCCTGAGCGTCGCCTGAATTGCTCGAAATCTCGAAAGGCGCTTATCAGAACCTATCGATGTGCGGTCGGAAGTAGCTGACGCTGTAGCTGTAGCTGACGATGAGATCTTGTAGCTGATTTGAGTGTTGAGCTTCTGCGAAAACTTAGAAACCGTAAAATGGTCATCAAACTCGGGGCATGCTACCATTAGAAAAAAATACGGTAGTTAGTTGGCTAGTTGGCTAGTTGGCTAGCTTTCAATAGTCCTTTTGAGTCCTACGAAGATGAGGATGTAAAATCTTCCAGAATTTAATAACTCGATTAAAAAAGAAACTGTGAGAGCTTTTAGAGGAAACGGAAAGTTGGCGGATGAGGGATTTCAGAGGTCTAGAGAGCCTCTGGAGGTCTAGAGAGCCTCTGGAGGTCTAGAGAGCCTCTGGAGGTCTAGAGAGCCTCTGGAGGTCTAGAGAGCCTCTGGAGGTCTAGAGAGCCTCTGGAGGCCTAGAGAGCCTCTGGAGGTCTAGAGAGCCTCTGGAGGCCTAGAGAGCCTCTGGAGGCCTAGAGAGCCTCTGGAGGCCTAGAGAGCTGAATTCAAAGAGATCAGAAAAAAAGGGGATCGGGATGAATGCCTTTAACAATTTTAAACCATTCCACTAAATCGATGATAAGACGGCGTTGAGCCAAGCTCAAAATTGTTATTTATTTTTTTTGTAAAGTCAATTCTGGATAGCATTTCGGTTTTTAAAAGGGATAAAGTCTAGAAAAAGGGATTTTATTTTGTGAATCAGCTCCTCAACCCGGAATTTCAATGAGCAGTTGGCAGAA